TAATATAATATAATATAATATAATATCTGAGTTCAATGCGCCAATGGAGAATGCCTTCTTCGCTTTGTCGAACAACATGAGCTATTTATTAATATATACTTCCGATATTTGGCATACCATGTCACCTGGAACTCTCTGGATAACCAATGAACCAGATTGATTATATTTTAGTCAGTCGCCGTTGGAAGAGTTCTATAGTAAATAGTCCTATCGAGGCGCTGAAACTAGTAACTTTCATGGATCATACCGTGTTATGGTAAGAGCCAAGACTCGCATGAAATTGACAAAAGCAAGAACACTTCCCAAGTTTTTTCATATCTCAAACTAAAAGATTCTTGGAGAGTAAGTGTTCCGAATTATTGAAATGAACAACAATAACATCTCCGGAATGATGGATGAATATTGGTGCTAACTAAAGGCATGTCCACCTCCATCAGCCATCTCCACACTAGGATATGCTATGTCCATCTCCACACTAGTAAAAAATGCGGTAGTTGGGCATTAAATATTGGGCAATAGTTGCCTAAAAAGGCTCGAATATCAGGAGACCTTGGCTATCGGATGCTTTGAAGAATTACAATAACTATAGCATGGTCAGATGGAAATAGCTATTGACCTTGAGAATGGAAATGGCGGTTCGATTAGGCGATAATAAACTGCTTTTCCGCCTTTTTTACAAAGCAGCTATAACTCGGGGAACGACCAGTGAAGTCATAGGGGATAACAATGGTGTGTCTGTTAAGAATATTAAGGATTATCCCATAAGTTGGAAAGAATCCTTTGGGGCCAAACTTAACCATGAAGCTCCATCTGTTGACCTGGATATACCTCGCTTTAAAGGGCAATCGAACTCGATGCTGTTCCTAAGAAGGTCACTCGACTCGTATAGGCATTTTATTAGTATACATCGGCACAGGTCCGTGCATATGGGAAACTGACAGACCCTTTTGAAATTACAACTGGTGTCCATCAAGGCAGTGACCTTTCTCCTGCAATGTTCTATTAAGCGATAGACTATATATTGGAATCGCTTGTCAGCATTCAAGAGGTGTACAAATCAGTCCAGAGCACAATGTAAAAGATTGTGAATACGTTGATGATATAACCGTTTTCATAACCATTGATGATAAAACCTGAGACAATTATAATAAAATGCAAATAATGCTAAACAATTGTCGGACAACTGCAGTAAGAATCGTATTCAGGATAAAGAAAACGAAAGATTTTTTTTATTTACAAGAAATTAATAAAAAACCTATTTTTTTCAATTTTTTGCTAGTTGAGGAAATGCCATTTCAAATGTTTCAGATCCACTCTAATTGCAAATGGCCAAGTTAAAGACAAAATTACAATCCGTATAAGAGCAGCTATGCTTTCTTCCTGTTGTAAAATCTTTGTGGATTCGAGAAATCACTATAAAAACGAAAGCCCGTGTCTAAGTCGCAGTTCGCTTGATCTTGCTATATGCTAGCTAGCCATTGAGAGTGGAGGATATTTAGAACATATATGCCTTTGATCGCTTATGTTTAAGGCTTATCTTATAGGTCCGCCGAGTAGATAAAATCGCGCATGATTTCACTTTCGCTCAAACACCCTTGCATTAACATTAAGATTACCACCACAGAAAGCCATCTTTGCTGGTAAGAGCACGTTCTTCGCCACTCACCACAGGAGTTGATATGTATTTCATTAATTACTAAACCTTGTGAAGGATGGCATCGAAAGCGAGGTGGTCCTGGACTGACACACTCAGGAAAAATTTTGAACATATAGGTGGACCAGCAATATATGGACTTAGACAACAGAAAAAGGAATGACTTCTATTACTATCAGCGAGTAGCTTATAGAAATACCTTGTAGCCAGCGGAGCCAGCTCAACCAGTAATGGTGAAAAAGCTGTTAGAAGAAGAAGCCAGTAAAGACTTCGGTCTAAGTGATATTGAATTGTCATTGTATTAAGCTAACAGAAAATACTGATATTCATACTGAGAATATTGAATTTTTCTTGGGAAGGCGCTGGTTTTAGGCACTAGTCTCTTCGGAGGCGTGGGTTCGAATCCCACTCTCTTCATGGCAGTTTTGTCGCTTTCTACTGTTTTGGCCATGATCACACAAATCGATCCTTCCGTTTCTTTGATATTTTAGCTTATTCTGGCTCTACAATCTTCCAGTTGATCTCTTCTTCCAGTTTGAACTTTCTTTTCCTTAGAACTGAAAGGAATTTCAATTTTTAAAAATATTTATCCACTTTGATCTTTTCCTAATTCAAGGTAAATTTATTGAATTACAATTGAAAAAATTAGATTAACATTTCCATTCGAATTCCATACTGTATTATTTTATTTATAGCCCATCAAATATAACTGAATATTGCCTTCAAAAAGTATTTTCGCTTACATCGGAATTTAATATGGAGGCTCTGAGTTGCGACTGTAATCCACATGGAAGTACTCGTTTCTCTTGTCAAGAATATGGTGGACAATGTTCTTGTCGACCAAATATAATTGGTCGCCAGTGTAATCGTTGCGCTGTTGGATATTACGGTTTTCCGAATTGCATTAGTACGTCTTCCTTTTTCTTTTATCGATATATTTCGTTTGATTTGCTCTCATTTAATTATCTTGAAAAGCTTATAGGTTATCTTCTATGACATATCTTGTCCTTTAGAATGCAAATGTCTTGATAATCAGCTTTGCGACGAAAGAACTGGTCAGTGTCATTGCCCACCATACGTCGACGGTCAGTCTTGCGACAAATGTGTCTCTCATGCATTTGGATATGACCCGCTAATTGGCTGCCAGCTTTGCGGATGTGTGCCAGAGGGCTCCGAACATGCCCAACTACAATGTGATCCTAACAGTGGACAATGCCTGTTAGTTAGTCGGACATCGATCGGATTTTCAATCCTTTTGTGGGAATAAATGGTTATTTTTCATTCCTTAAACCTACAAATCTTTTTAAATTTTTAGATGTAAAGCGAATATAGGTGGAAGAAAATGCGATAAATGTCTATCGGGATATTATGGATTTCCGCTTTGCTTCGAATGCGCTTGTGATATTCGAGGAACCACAGAAGATATATGCGACCCTAAAACTGCTCAGTGCAAATGCAAAGTATAATTTGTGCAATTTCCATTTTACATTTTTGTACTTTCTTCTATGAAAAGATTCCCGGATTGCTTAGAGTGAAAGTTTCATTTTATTTTCCAATTTCAATTTATTTATTATAGAAAAATGTAATTGGTGATAACTGCGATACATGTCGAGTAGGTACATTTGATTTGCAAACGATGAATCCTGACGGTTGTTCAGAATGTTTTTGTTTTGGAGCTACAGATCGTTGCCGTTCAGCTTATTTTCCTATTAGTTTTGTATGTAGTCAACATATTTCAAACAATTCGATCAGAAAAAAATCAAAAAATTAAAAAAATTAAACGCTTTTTTTCCATTTATAACAATTTTAGCGAAATTTTGACGAAGAAGGATGGAATGTGACTGATGAAAATGGCGAACTATCTCATGCGGATGGTACATTTCGTTATACTTCGTCTGGAAATGCACCTTCAAGTGATGTTTACTTTCTCGTACCTCTGCAAGATGTCGATTATACAAATTCATATGGTCTTAAGGTTAAATTTTTTTCATTGCTCAAATCATATCAAATAAGCACCAATTTACCTCACATGCTGTGCGAAAGAAATATCGCAAAAAAATTTTTGAATTTAATCAGATTTATGATCATTTTTCGGTTTAACAACCAATTGATCTTGGCATTTACATCTTAAAATTTTTCTTTTTTTATAATTTTTAAAAATTGAATCAATCTGATGGAAATCGGTAAAGATTAGTCTTCATGGAGTAACGAATAAATGGATGATTAAAAACCTAATGTAATATGGCTAAAGGTAAAATAATAATAGTCAAAAGTAATTAATATTTTTTCCCATATATTTTTTTCAAATCTTATCAATTTTTTAGAAATGCTAATACCAGTTATAATAATTTCAGCTAACATTCGTGATCTCTTCGTTTCCAAGCAATGCGGTGTCGAAAATGAACACTGCTGCAGATGTGCAACTCATCAGCTCAAATATGATATTAGAATTTTGGGCCAGTGAACAGCCTTCAGATCCAAAAAAACCGTTTCCAGTTGAAGTCAAAATACTTCCAGAGAATTTTCTGACTAATAAGGGTGAAAGAATTTCTCGTGCCGATTTAATGCTTGTTTTGCATGGTCTTAAACAACTTCGGATTAAGGCTTGCTATTATTCTGATTGCCAGTCGGCTACTATTAGTGATTTTCAACTAGAAGTGGCTAGAGACGATCAGAATTCTTTCGATAATTTGTTCACTGCTACTTCTATAGAATTATGCAGTTGTCCCCCTCCCTACAGTGGTTCTTCTTGTCAGGTATATTTTCTTTTTTCAAGTTTATTTTTCTAAGCCATTTGAAATAATTATTTAATATTAATTTTTATGTGATTCTTAATTCATTCCTTTTTTGCAATCAAATTTTGACTAATTTTAGCTTTGCTCGCCAGAACATTATCGTGTTTCATCCGGTCAATATCTTGGGGCATGTATTCCATGCGAATGTAATCGTCATTCTGGTTCTTGCGATGTTAACACTGGTGTATGTTTTGACTGCCAGCATAATACTACTGGTGATCATTGTGAACTTTGTATTGAAGGATTCTATGGTGATGCTACTACAGCTAGCCCGTACTCATGCTTGCCTTGTGCTTGTCCATATTCTTCAGTTTCAAATAATTTTGCTGTTAGTTGCCAGGTATGTTTGTTTATATTTGAAGAATTTGTGATGTTTTCAGTAATATATTTTTAATTTTTTATTATAGATTCTATGTATTGAAAATGGCAAGAAGTATTATATCCTTCCTTTCTGTCTATTTTTACAATCATTTAAATTAATTTTTAGGTTACTGAAACCGGACTATTGCAATCCTGCAAATGCAAAACCGGCTACACATCAGATCGTTGTGATAGGTAATTTTAATTCCATATTTATTTATTTTTTATTTTAGAAAATCTAAATGCTGATAACAAGTTAATAAGATTTTTTAAGGTGCGACGTTGGTTTTTATGGACAACCATTGCAAATAGATGGTTCATGCAAAAAGTGCTATTGTAATGAAAATAACAATTTAAGTCTTCATGGCTCATGTAATCCTATTAGTGGTATCTGCGATTTGTGTGAAAATAACACCGATGGAAACCACTGTGAAATTTGTAAAGAGTGGTATTATGGCGATGCAATTAAAGCAAAAAACTGTTCGGGTTGGCATTTGGTGCAAATGTTAAATAGTTATTAATATTTTCTAAGTATTTCTACCATTTTATCACTTTTTAGTTCCATAGAGCTTTTTTTAATAGAATGTTCTTGCAACAAATGTGGAAGCTCGACTTGCGATAGTATTTCCGGTCAGTGTTACTGCTATCCATACGTTGAAGGGAGTGAATGTGATCGTTGCGTGGTATTTATCTTTTTTAATTCTAGAAGTTTGAATTTTTTTTGCTCGAAAAATTCGCAAATATAATGGAGATATCTAAAGTGAATGTGATCGTTGTTTTAGGAGAATGCATGGGGATTTTCAAGTTGCCAAGGTTGTCAACCATGCCACTGTTCATTAGCATCTTCTTCAACTCAGTGTCATCCGGATACAGGAAAATGCACTTGTATGCCAGGAGCAACTGGTCCAACATGTGAATCTTGCGAAAATGGATATTGGAATTATACCGCTTATGGCTGCAAAAGTATTTTTTTATTAAAATTCAAATGCAACGGTTTTGGGACTTAATCAAGTATTTATTATGAATATTATTTTTATTATTTATATTGCCCTTATTTATTGCCTTTTTTATTTATATTACTATTATTGTTATTCTACTAATTATTATTTTTCTCATTATTATTATTTATATTATCGCCAAACTTATTCGTCATCAAATCATTCATTATCATTATTTAATTATTATTTTAATTATTGCTATTATTTTCACCCAGTTGTCGTCCTATATATAAACAGAATGAAATTAAGAATGTGATTGTGAGGCTGATTTATCAAGGGGTACAGTATGCGATGTTAGAACTGGACAGTGCCACTGTCAGGAAGGAGCCACTGGACCCCGATGTAATCAGTGCCTTCCAGAATATCTTCGTATACCTGTGCATGGTTGCAAATGTTAGTCTCAGCAATTACAAATTTTTCTTTTTTTCATTTTTTTAGTAAAAAAATTATTTTATTAAAGTTTGCGATGAATGTGTGCATTCGCTGAATAATGATGATCTCTTCACACTGGATTCTTCTTTGGACTTAATCGCTACTTCGATTGGAAACATTTCGACAACAGTTTTAACTGGCGCCCGTTTACGACGAATTGAAGCAAAAATCCAAGAAACGAACGTAAGCAGTCATTTAAAATTTTGTAATTAAGCAATGAAAAAATCCAAAGGAATATTATTTTATTACAGTGCTACAGAAAATACACAAGAAAAAGGGTTTTATAGGTGAAAAATTTTATATTTTTTATAATGTATATATAATTTTTTATAATGTTATTTATAATAATATTCAGATAAAATTGGATAATTTTTCTGAAGCCGACATCCGTGCTGACATTGAAACTCTGAAAGAGAAAATGAACTCGTTGAAATCACCAGCAAGTGCAATAACAATTCGTTTAAATCGCTCGATGGATATGCTTCATTCAGTTCAGCTAAAACTTGACAAAATTGTTAAAGACACTGAAGAGGTTAACTTAAGATAATATTTCAATAACTTATAAATAGCTTCTTTTAAAAAATCCAGAATTGATTGATTTTTCTGAAGTAATTTCCAAAAGAAAGGCAATGAATCGGTCGATATCGGTGGTAAATTTTGCATTTCTAAAATTTCTTATTTTTATTTTAATTCAGTTTCATGGATAATTTTACTGAAACCGATAGGTAATTTATTTCTTTAAAAAAAATCTTTCAGATTTCCGCTAATTCTTTCGATCGTATTGAAATCGCTTCGTGGGTTGTCGATCATCTCAAAAACTTAATTCGTGCAATTAGAGAAGGTTTAGACACGGCGGATAGGCAAAGATGGATTGGTCGGGCTGAGGATTTGTTGGCGCAAATGAAAAATATTTCTATCGAGTAAGTGGTGATCACAAGTAGCTAATCTTGCAATAAATTATTTGTTATTATTTATAAAACAATAGAATAGTTTATAAAAAATTTCTATATCGGTTCTTAGTTTTTAATCGTTCGAGAAAACGCTTAAATGCTTAGAAATTGAATTTTTTAAATTTTTTCAATAATTTGTACTTTCAGATTTAAAAACTTTTATAGAACGTTTACGATTACAACTATCATTTTTAATTTTAGCTCTTCGGAAGGTATTGAAAAAATAACGAAACTAATGAAAAATGTAATAATTTTGCGCGGCAATATTGAGAAAAAAACTAATAAAACGGATGAAATTATTAAAAATTTAACCGATTTTAAAAATTTAATGAAAAATCTGACGAATTATGCAAAGGATTATAAATTTTTTTTACAAAATGTATCGAATAATATTCAACGAGTTAAACAGGTAACTAATTATTTTCAATATTTCTTTTGCATAGAAATTAGAAAAAATTGCAAAAATCGAGGAAAATTTTTTTCAGCAAGTTGATCAGTTACCGATATTTGCATTTGCATCATCAGTTAAAGAACTTCAAAAAGATTTGAATGAACTCGCATCGAATTTGGATGTAATGGAGAAGAGTACCGCTGCGATCGATGAGAATATTAGTGTTTTTAGTGTTTCCCAACAAGCAGTTGATAATCTTCTTGAAGAATTAAATGAAACAATGACAAAAATTTCCGCACGCATTGAATTTAATAGTCGTTTTAAAAGGGAAGTTAATAAGGTTTATCTTAATTTACTTTTATAGAGGACTAAAACATAGATTATTATTAAAATTCCACACTACCTGGAATTACTTTCAATTTTTCAGTTTGATTATGAGAAGAAAACAGAATTACTGGAAGAAGAAGCAGCGCGATTGTCAAGTATGTTCGGTGGTACACGAATTGAAGCAGAAAATGGTGTTCGGGCAGCTAATGCGTACAAAGAAGTGGTCGAAATGTTGCAAGCAGCAGGAAATTCATCTAATGATGCAGAAAATTATGCAAAAGAAGCAAAACATTTGGGTGAAGGACAAGTAGTTTTTTGATGTCTCGAACAGCAATCAGTATCAACAATAATATTCATATTTACGTGACATCCTCCTCAATTTATTAAATTGATCGGCTAGCTCTACTCTACTTATTATGGGGATGAAAGTAACTTGAGGAGTCCCGATTACTCCCATCAGTGGACAACAATCTAACCCATGTCGCTCGACTTTACTCAAAACATTTTATTGAATAACCTTAACTTATCTGATTTAAATAATAAATCTGCAGGCAAATGCAGCAAAATCTTCGCGAGAAAAATCAGCGTCTTTACTACGATCAACTAGTTTAATAAAGAGTGAGATGATCAACGAAGTTTCATCTTCAAAAATAGCACTTAGCAAACAACTATCGAATGTGAATCAGTCAATTAATGATCAGCAAAGTCGGGTGGACAGTCTCCGATCAAAATATGATGACCAAGATATTGTTAGTTACTACGTGAGTTTTTTCATAAATTACACAGGTATACTAACATATAATGCTAATTAAGGATGGAAAGACGAAACAAGCGATAACGATAGCATCTGATGCAATGTCAAAAGTTAATAAGGCTAATGAATTAAGGGCTGTTCAACCTCAAATTTCGAGTTTAATTATGGATTCAGAAGTATTCATTAATCGAAATGTAAAATCCGTTGATGATATCAACTCTGCGCGAAATCAAATCAATCAGGTCATTCACAACAACGTTTGTCACTTTTTCGGGAAAGCCATCTTTGGCCGAAATATATTTTCTTACCAGTTTCTGCTTTTGCTTTCTAAAATTGCAAGTTTTTCGTTTTTAGATTTCGAAATTAATACAACCAACCATTGTTCAGCTTTCAAATCTGCAGGATCTAATGCTTAATAAGACAAATGATATCAAACTTCGACAAGAAAAAATGGATTCATTGAAGGAAAAAATTTCTCTTGCAAGAGAACTGGCTAATCGAGTATTCATTCATTAAATTATTTATTCTGGTTATCACTTATTTAACAATGAATCCAATCTATATTTTTTTGCCATAATTTATGTTGTAAATTATGTGACAAGATTTTAAAATCTTTCTTTCCTCATCTTTCTGCTATTTTAAACTCTTTAATACTCCCATCTTTTAAAAGGTTTAACGAATAATTGAGTTCAATTCCAGATAAAACTAGGAGTTCATATGGAAAAAAATAGTATTTTGGAATTGCCATTAGGAATGCGTATAGCTCGTTCCGCTCTCCATACAAACATTGACTTTTCATTCAGAACTTTCCTGCTTAATGGTTGGTCTTAAATTTATGAACAAAAGTTTGAAAAATTTGAAAAAATAACTTTAAAAATTAGAAATTAAATTTTAAGGACTTTTATTATTCTATGGAAATGAACAGAGTACTGCGGGCACTCAAACGAGCGATTATATTGCTATTGAGATTGAAAATGGCAATATCCGAACAATTGTTGATCTAGGAGCTATTCCAACTATTGTTGAATCAAAAACGTATATTTTATATATTTTTATATATCTTTTTTTTGAAAAATTTTTGCATAAAACTTTCTTTTTCTAAAAATTTTTTATAGCCAATGACCCTGGTCGTCTCAAATCATTAATGTCATTAATGGAATTCTAGAGACGTAGCAGATGGACGTTGGCGTAAAATTTCAGTGGAACAGTTGGGGAAATCGGTCTCCCTGCATATTTATCAACCAATTTCACATGTCGTTGAAGAAGTACGAAATGCCACTGTATCAGGACCGAAATTCGTATTAAATCTCCATCCCAAAAGAAGCAGATTGTTCATTGGTAGTATTCCACCAAACGTAAATGTTAGTCTCAGCCATTTTTTACACTTATTGAGCCTGGTCGTCTTAAGTCGTTAATGGAATTTTCGTTTTTTGTTGCTTTTTTCCTCTTTCGTTTTTTCGAACTAACTTTTATCTTTTTCATTTTTATTTTTCCATTAATTTGATTTTCCATATATTGTCAAATGGTATTCACAGGTTGCATCAGATATTCAAAACCGTTATTTTATTGGAGATATCGAACAGTTGACGATTAATGGAAATGCTATTGGTTTATGGCTTAGTAAAGAAGGCACTAGCCGAAATGTTCAAGGCGCTGAGAAGCAACCGATGATTGCAACCTCAACCATTGATGAATGTAATTTTACGGATGTTTAAAGAGAACTCTAGCATATTTTTTAATTTTAATTGTAAAATTTTATAAAATGGCATATTTGTAGCGTTAGGCTTCAATGGTAACGGCTATATTATTCAACGTATGGGACAATGGAATCCTAGTAAAAAAACAGAATTTTCACTGCGTTTTCGCACATTTTCTCCTGATGGCCTTCTTTTGTACTTTGGAAAAGAAGTGATTTTTATTTCGTTTTTGCAAGAAAAAAATATTTTTGAACTGATTGCTCTATTTTTAAAATTTTTTTATCTTTGCATCAAAGCGAGAGTGGTGGATTTGAAATCAAAAACACACGGTTAGGTTCCATTTTTTTCGAAAAATTATTTATTTTGCTCACTTTTTTTAAAAAATAATTTTATTACTTTCATGTGGGATTGTTTCTTCTTCTTATAATTTATGTATAGAGTTATTCTATTTTAAATTTTGATGAAACACCAATAAGAAATCAATGGAAAAATTGTGATATTTAGCGTGACTTCTTGGCGCTGAGAATAAATGATGGTCAAGTCGAGCTTTCTTATGATTTTGGCTCTGGTGTTGGCAGAGTTATATGTCAAAAGAAGAATTATAATGATGGCAATATGCATTCTGTGTATGTGCATCGAATAGGTCATGAAATAAAGCTGCATGTCGATGAAGATGATTTAACAGAAGCAAAGTTGCCTGACGATAATTTTGAACTCGAACTTATTGATGTATTTTATATTGGAGGAGTACCATCTGATGTATCTACGTAAGTTTGGAAATCTTTCTGTAAAGATAAATTATTGATGACTTATATGATACTGTTAAATTTCTGTTGCAGGCGATTTGCAGTCATTCCATTCACTGGTTGTATTGAAGGAATTAGGCTTGAAATGAATTTTATCCATTTGAGTGATGCCAAAGCGATAAAAGAAGTCCAGAGCAGTTGTTCAGATAAAACTATTCGGCTTGTCTCACTTATATCTGAGCGCTCATTTGTTCATTTCTCAAATTCAACTATTGCTAAAAATATCGAATTTATGTTCCAATTCAAAACGAAAAAGCCGATTGCTGTTTTGGCTACGATAGTATCTGACGAAATGGTATTTTTTTGAACAAAATATTTACTTTAGAGTTAAATAAAATACGTAAAAATCATTTTTGCATCTCTGCCGTATGATTGCATGAGTTTGTTAAGGAGAACGTACTTCAAGTCCGTCTCGAAAGTGGATTTGTTTACGTGGTATTAGGCGGAGATACTAAGGATACGCTGAAAGTCGAAACTGATTCTCTTTCCGATGGTCGTTGGCATTTTATATCGGTTGCAAAAACTTCTAAAATTAAAATATATATTGATGATTTACACTCAAATGAAGCCTATGTTCCTGTGGATTACGATGAGGTTCATTTTATCATAGTTTTTTCCTTTTTCGATATTTTTCGTAAAAATGAAGCGATAATTTTTTTCAATCATTATTTAATAAAATTATTATTCAATAATATTATTATTTTATTTGATAATTTAATAATTTAGTTTTAAGCAGAACATTATTGTTGAAATGAAAATTATTATTTGCAAACCATTTTTTCAATATCTTTTTTTTGCCTTTTATTATCTCTTTTTTAAAGATTTTTAATTTTTAATTTTAATTTTTTTATTCTTTCAGACTTTTGGCCAGAAAAACATGTTGTTCTTTGGCAAGGATCCATTTTCGAATTTGAGCTTTGAAGGATGTATTGGTGATTTGGTAGTAAATAACCATCTGCTAGATTTTTCTGAGGTTTTCTCGACTTTCTTTTCTCAGTCTTTTTAATTGCAACATTCGTTTTCTTTTTCGAATTATTAGAATTCTCAACGTTTTTAAAAAATTCATGCAGTGACGTCTCTGATATCTCTATTTTCAATCATTATTTTGTGAGTTAAAGTCGAGAAAATGAAGAACTGAGTCCATAATTCATAGATCATTTCTTTAGCAGAAATTGTTCATTTTTTCATAAATTTTCGAGAAAATAATTCTAAATAAAGTATCGATTCAAGGCTGAAACGAGAGAGGTACAACTGAATAGTTGTTATATTGTTGAAAATGATATAATTTCCTTGCCAGAATTGAAACAATCTACTTCGATGAGTTTAAAATCGGAAAATAATGTCGATAGCTCGTTTACTACTAATTTTCCAGTTATTCATGAAGTAATTCTTAATGATGTTTGCTTTTCTATATAAAGCTATAATATAACAAACGGTGCTATTAAACAACAAAAATTATTGAAAATCCTCCCTTCTAACTAAATCTATGTACATCTACGAATTGAGGCGACGAAAGAACCATTTCGCACAAAATCAAAGGTTCGTTCTTTGAACGACTGTGCCTTACGAAAAGCGCCATATGAACAGCTTGAAGGTCTAAATGGAAAGCGCTACGGTTTAACACCAACATCTCGCCAAGAATATCACAATGTACTTGCATCTTTTGATAAAAAGTTAGTCCATTTGCATTTTTTGGCTCATGCGAATGAATTTCCATTATTTCGAGACGAGATATACAATATCAGGGTCACAATCTCAATGGAAGTACAAGCGACTGCATCAAATGGTGTCCTTTTATTCGTAACGAATGAACAACATACTGACCATCTTTCTTTGTTTCTTGTTAATGGCATCGTTCACTTCACTTACAATTCTGGCACTGGACAAGTACTTTATTTTTATTTAAAAGAAATCCTAAATTGCAAATTTTTCTATTTTATTTTTCAAAATCATAATTTTAAAAAATAATTTTATTGTCATAATTTTAGCTTTGTCATAATTTTAGCTTTGTCTTTTAAAATGTTTCCAGGCAATCTCTTTTTTTTTACCTTTAAAACTATTGTAATTTTTCTAATTATAATATTCATTATTTGTTAATTTAAATATTATTTGTTAATCTATTCTAATTAAAGCAGAAATTTTAATATAGGCAACGCTTTTCTCGAATCGTAGTATTATTGATGACGAGTGGCATACGATTATTATAGAACGTGATGGCGCAATTGGAAAGCTTTTCATCGATGATAATCTAGAATCAGTTGACAATTCCTCGGTTGGAACAGATGCAGTGGATATTCAACCTCCGATTTACATTGGAGGGATCCCTTCAGATCTTCGACCAATCGCAGCGGTTCTTGTTCCAGTAACATTTTCTTTACCTGATAGATTTCTTAAGAACAGTAAGGATTGCTGAAATATCTATTTTTCAAGAATGTGAAGGCTGGTTTTGGTGGATGCATACGCGAATTGAAATTGAACGACGAGGCGATTGGTAACGAACCAAAGGAATTTGGCATCGCACCTTGCAATCGAACTGTAGAGAGCGGTTTATATTTTGGCCAAGAAGGAGGATATGTTGTGCTTAATGATAATTTTAAGGTAATAACGAATATGTATTAAAACAGTGAAAATTTTATGAAATGAATGTATTCTTAAACATTAAATTTGTCAGGTTGGTTCGTCATTTAGCATTGAATTTGACATACGTCCGCGTACCAACAATGGAATACTTCTTTCTGTTGGTAGCAATGAATGTCTCGCTGTTCAACTTTTAAATGGAACTGTTCAATTTACTATAGACAATGGTGCTGGTAAGGAAAAAGTAATACATTTGCCGGGTGCTAGCAATGCAGTATGTGATGGGCATTGGCATTATATGAAAGTAAATTACTTTTTTGTTTTTCACTTCCTGAACATCGTCTATTTATCTATTCACCCTCGTGAACTACTTTATGGAATGAATTATTACAACTGAATGCTTTATTTATTTATATTTCAGCTATACAAAACCAAAAATTTGATGACTTTAACCGTCGATGGTAAGAGTAGTCTTCATATTATGAAAAAAGGTAAAAAAACTGAAACAACTACAAACGATCCTTTTTATCTAGGTGGAATTCCAAAACATGCGAAGCAGGCTTGTTTAGATATTATGGGTAAGATTTTTTAAAGTAATTAAATCGAAGCTTTTTGTTTTTAAAGATATAGCATAATTATTAGTGCCTTGCATTACGTTTTATCACTTATCACTTATTACATTAACATTTATCACTTCAAACTGAATAAACGGATGAATTTGCAAATCAAATCAGATCATTTTCTAGAAAATTTCATTGGATGTGTTCGAGTTTATAATATTGGAAAAAAACCGAGAAAGAAGAAAAACATCAATATTGATACGTTACCAGCATACGGTGATGTTATCAGAAATCAGTGTCCAGTGAATTAATTTTAATTAATTTCAAATGAAAAAGTTTTTTGCAACGAGCAGTTTGATTCGCCAATTCTATAACATGATTTCTTGCTTTGATTCATTTTTTATATTAAAGCTTTTGTTTTTTGATTCTTTTCACTTCAAAGTAAAGCAAAGTTATTAGCTCAGTTTTTCATTCCAATTCCAACGAGAGCAATAAAGTAAACCAATTTTGCGTTTATTTTAAATGAATTTTTTTTATTAATTCAGCTTCAAAAGCTTGCATATGAAAAATAAATTTTTTACGTTTTATTAGGCATTCCATGCATATATTTCATCAGAAAGAGATGTGGATTATACAAAAAAATATTTTATGGAAAGTTTTTTGAGAAATCAATTTGCAGAGTTTAGAAGATTTAAGTTAAATCCATATTAAGTGCTATATCGAAGCAGAAATAAGCGCAGATGCGAACTAAGTATCAAATTATATCAAATGGAACCAAGTGATGCGGTTGCAGCCATGTCGAGTTTCTTTGTCGTTATGCGCTTTTTAGGAACTGGAAAAGGATTTTCAGATGAGATTATTGGTGCATTTTTAGAAAGATTGAAAGATTTAAGTATAAGTTTCGATTTATGTAAAACCATCTGTTTTGGAAGACCTTTAGATTTCACCTGCAATTAACAATTTGATAAAATGAGTATTTAGTTAAATGCTTTGGTTTTTTAATAATTTTTTAATAATTTGATTCGTTTCAAAGATATTAGAAATTAAATAATTTATCAGTCATAAATTTTTGAATTTCGTTGCTAAAAATGATAAACCAACAACATTATAAGATTATGGGAAATGCTCACAGTAATTTATAAGGCTTTATTTATATAAATATATATATCATGATATGGTTTTTACCATGAAGAGTTGAAAATTATATGAAAATTTATGAATAAATTTATCAATTGCAGACCTTAGATTTTTGAGAAATCATCTGTAGTACATTTTGCAACGATTCCATAGCATCTAAAAATTTTGTAATTTTGCAGATTTAAGAGAAATACTGGAAGTACTGGTGAATATTGCGTTTTAAGAAATTTTATGAGCAATTCACAAAAGATGAGAGATAAATAGGGAATGAAATGAAAATAATTTAATTTTTTTAATATATAATCTATAAAAGTGATAAATTTTGGCTTAAGTGATAAGCAGGTCGGTTGATAATGATTTCATCATTGGTTTATTTTTCAGATAAGAACGCGAAATATCTAAATAATTACAATCCGTTTCGAATGGCTGGACGACAATTGGTGTTACTGGTGCGCTTCCATTCATCGAGACAAAATTTGATGGAAATCTGAAAAAATATTTTAAAAAAGAATGGATGCCAAGAAGACTGCAAACACTGCAATCGAGTGTTCGAACTATATCAGAGTTATTTGCCTTGGGAGAGTTAACTAACATAGATTTTTCATTGAGTTCCAGTAATGAACGAATTAAAAGATGATTGAAAGTATTGAGCGAAGATAGATTTATGGAAAATAAACCACCACAGACAACAACTTTATACTCTTCGTTCGTACGATCGGAGTACCGCTGCCCATGCTGATATGCTGCTAAAAAGATTTTTGAAGCGCCGTTTTTTTACACCGATTATGCAGTATTATTATAATTTACTTCAATATCAGCAGGTAAGAAAGCCTAAATTTCTGTTATCATTGTGGCGACTGTTAGTGATGATTGCACATACCTTGATGAATTATCCTCACTTGCTTCTGCCTTTGTTTAAGCATTCTATATTGCTTCTTTAATTTTATATAATCGCATCGAACTCGTTCATTTGTTTTTTCTTTTTCTTGAAATTTTCTTGATGTTATAAAAAATTGTGAATTCCAAATTAAAAATCTTTAGACGCATTGCCTACATTTATTTTAAAGAAACATGGGAAGCACTAAAAGATCCGAGGTTAAAAAAGGTTTTTCAAATAGCCCTACGCTGAGTTACTACAATATAACGAAATCTACCGACAAATGCAGCTAGGCTGCGCTTATTTCCTTCCATATTTTATGAACTGAATAATGATAGTGAATGAATATTTCTTCACTTAATTTTCTTGAAATAGTATTAATATGTTGTTACCTACTGGTGACAAATTCGGAAGTTTTTCGGAAGATATAAAAAAACAAACGCACCTGTATGCATTGCTTGCTCATTATCTGATAAGTCTTCGTCACTGATATGCAAAATAGAGTTGACTTGTTTTTGAACCATTGAAAAAGTGTTCCCAAATGGTTGAACATTCCATGTGTATCGTTCTCTAAGAGCATGTAATTCAAGATAAGGAAATTCGGACACTGCATAAATGATCTGTAAACTTGCACAAAAAATATTCAGGAGATCTCATCTTATCAAAGTTGTACAAGCAGCACTGCATAATTTCACCTATATGTAGATAATAACATAGTCACCTCAATAAAATTGTTGATTTCAGTAGTTTTCATGCACATTATACATTTGCTAAGTGAGCACATTAAGGTATAGAATTCATCAACTGTTTTAGTTTTCAAAATTCGCCTATAAATCGTTAAAAGCTACAATTATTTATAGTTTAAAAAAATTAAATGCATAAAAATTATTTAAATTTAAAAGATTCAAATTTTTTGAGCGAATTTTTTAGTCAGATTTTGATTTAACTAAATTTTTAAGTGGCGAATTTGCAATAAAATATGAATATTACTTTGTTTTAAGGCTTGCTTGAGACGAATATGTGGCAAAAAATATAAAACTATTCCTCCAAGCAAACGCTTGCCAAGTAAGCCTTTCAATGTTTATAGGTGTATATTGGGGCGATTTCGGCGATATAGAAAGGTAAAACTACCCGAATATAGATGAGAAAACTAATGAAGAGTATTGAAAATATATTGAAAATATATAAAATATTGAAAATATACTTGCTAAGTTTTGCCCATATAACAAGGGAAGTTCGTAGAAGAATTTCCGATCCTTCTAACATTAAAGCGTCCCAAATACGATAAACACATCGTTTTGGAAGACATGTTGCAAATAGTGTTAAAAACCATTGCATTGAAAATACGTTGGTTAATGGTGGTTCAAATTCACTTTCTGAAAGGTGAAATTTTTTGAAAGTTGAAAATTAACTTCTAATATTATTAGATATATTCATTAAAAATTTACTAAATAATCTAAAATACAAAAAAGAAAGCCGACTTTTTTGAAGATTGTCTAAATGAAGCTTCGTTTTTGGCAATCTTTGGTAGAGAAGGTCTCGAAGCACGATTAAGTCAACAGATAACGCTCTTAAAGTTTGATCGAAATATCCTCTCGGTAGAATATGCTCAATTAAAAAGATCATAACCTAAATAAAAATTTTAGCCATTTTTTAAAAAAATATTTTAAATATTTAAATATAAAATATTTTTTCTATTTTTTCCTAAATATTCTCAGCAATATACTAAGACTTCATTTTTTTAAAGCTAAATTAGTATTCTCGAAAATTTATTTACATTTGCAAATGCAAACACGAAATTCAGTTTTCTGGCAGAATGAATACCTTAAGAGCAGATTCTTCTTTGAATTCAGTGATCTCGAGAACTAACGCCCCAATAACGTTGAGCCCTTGACAATATCCGATAGATTTGTTAAATCTAGCATAACCCAACAGCAATCTTTTTAGCCGAATCTTTTCATCATCGCCGTTGAGACCTGTCCAGCCAGTCCGATGTAAATCCTATAATCCTCAATTAAAAGATCATAACCTAAATAAAAATTTTAGCTATTTCATTTTTCGATTTTTTAAATAGCCATTTTTTAAAAAATATTTTTTATATCCTAAATCGTACTGTGCAATTTATATTTATATTTATTCGAAGTTTTTTGAGAGAAAAATGTTAATCAAAAGTTTTTACTATTTAACCACACATTTTCTGCAGTAATAAATGACCCATAAAAATGGCATAAATGCTCAATTTCTTAATTCTTACGTTAGTTGTTTCGATTTCAAAGAGAATTAAGGATACAAATATCAAGTGAAATTTGTCAATTGAATATGATTTATACCTTAATAATCTGCAGACTCAGTCGATCATCGTCAGGATTCATTTTATCGTTGAAAGCAATTTGGCTTGTGTGCCCCCAGTCGATTCCCATTTCTTTTATGTGATGATTTGCTAATACTAGCCACAACTGTAATCGTTTTTTTATTTAATTTAAATTTTAAAAATTTGAGATTTGCTGCTTAATCCATATTTCATCAGATAAAAACAGTTTAAAATCGTGCTATGCGGACTTCACCTCTTTTCTGAAATTGGCAGGTATGCCATCAGGAAGGCGTACTACTGCCTTCATAGCGCTAATCCATTCATCATAACCGTAGTTGTTTTTTGATGGAGCCAATGAAAATCGCAATTTTGAATTTATAGCTAAACAGAAAAAAGAAATTCTGATTATTTTTCACATTAATTTTTACAACAAATTTAAATAACTAAAATTCTTCCTTATGCCAGAATGCTAGAAGGCGAAAAAAATTTGAAAATATTTGTGAGATTTATTGCAATTCATAAGTGGGATCATTAAAATAAAGCTACTTGAAAAGAAAAATCTATTTAGCAAGAAAATTTTATGCAAACGATAATTTTGAGCCACAAAAAATTTCTCATATTTTTAAATTATTTAATATAGTCGCCTCGAAGTTTATCGGAATCTATTTCCGCTTTTAATGATAAAGGAAATTTGTTGTTATTTACGATAATACAATTTTTAAAATGATTTAATCGTTTAAAATTTTTCTCCTCGAATAAAATCTTCTTTTCCGAAAATTCTGCAACCGCTGAAATGAACTGAAGAAGACGCAAATATACTCTATCATTAAAAAAAATAAAAAAGCACAGAGATAGTTTTTGCCTCGTAGAACTTTGGATTACGCCTCCCGGTTTCCTGGAGGTGTTTGAAGCACATTTTGTGAGCTAACAATTCATATGTCGCCTTTTGAATTAATATCAAATTTTTTTCTATTTTCTGCTGCCATTTCCTTTAATAAATAATGAAAAATACTGAAAATTTTCACCAAAATAGCAAAATTTTTCAATTTTTTTAAAACAAATCCTAAAAATTATAACTTTTTGTATGAAATAACGCTTGTAGAACGGCTGTTATAATATCGCAATTTGATTGTTGTTTATTCTGATAATTAAGTTTCCTCCTCAACGCTTTTATAAGTTTATCATTTTCATATTCGATCTCAGCTTTGATTGATTCAGCCAATCTTTGAAGTTCGCTTGTATCTAAATTTTTTCGATTGCTAAAAATTTTATTTCTTTCTACATTTTTATTTTTTCGGCTGTTGTAAGCATTAAGAGAGAAAAAATTTATGTAAAAATTCTATTCTATTCCATTCATTTTTTAATAAGCGATTTATTCAAAATTTTTCAAAAAAAAACGACCGAGCAATTTGAATGCAATGGAAAAAAAATTGGAGAATTCATTGCGATTGTTCACTTCAAAATATTAGTTTTAAATTCAATTAATCATCGAAAAATTAGAGAAAAAAAAGGAAAATTTATGAACGTCGGTCGCTTAAATGTTTCGAAAAAAATATTTCCACTTACAGTATATTCTATAAATTTCCCAAATTTGCCTTATAAATATATATACATAATTATAAATTACAATAAATCATGAGAATTTCAAAAAGTCATACATTTTTTCTTTCCTTTTCTTCATTTGTGGAATCGTTTTTTCAATAATTTAAAAAAAGAAATTTTATTTGATTGGACTGCTTTAAGCTTAAGGGAATATACCAAAAGCTAGAACTATCTTTTTCTATTCAACCATCTAATACGTTTTTTCCTTCAAAAAAAGGTCAAACCTATTTGCCATAACTCGTGTTCCGTAAAACGTGTTGGATTATGCAATGATGAACTATCCGATAGTAAGGAATATTCTGTGTTCGAATCTGTTTCAACACTTGAAAAATTTGATTTTTCAAATTATTTAGAGCACTGGCTGTAAAATTTTATTTCCACGGACCCCTTAGATGCCGTAATCTATGGAATCGCGATGCAACTAAATAAGATGATAATTTACCATTTAAATAAAATAAGAACATATATTTCGAATTTGGAATTAGATTCTCACCCACTTCTGTGAATCGCCATTGACTCCAAGGGGTCCAAGGAGTTTTATGACCATTGTTTGAAAATTTTATAATAAAAAAAAAGAAAATTCGAGTATTTTTCACTAGTCGGTGTGATATCTCTTATTTATTGAAAACCTTTTCCTAAAAGTTTGATTTGCAGGAAAATAAAAAAATGCACCTTTAAGAAAATCTATTTGAATCTACTGGATAAAATGAATTTATGAAGTAAAGACAAACACAATCAGCCATTGGTGTGAATAAATTATGTTTAATGAATTATATGATTATAGATAAAAATTTACTTATTTGACTTTTTACAGTCATCATAAATAATTTCCAAAAGTTTTTCAAGGCTCAAACGCCCTTGAAAGTTAGGATCCTGCATTTCCAATCTAAAAAAATTTGCTTCTAAATTAAAAGCATAAAAATTTAAAAAATAAAGAGAAGTCGAACAGTTGAATAATAAATAATATGAAAAATAGAGAAAATGGAAATAATTGTGCGCCGTACTATTTCAATTTACTGGCAGACCTGCCGGCTAATTCACTGGCCATCCAGAAGCATTAGTTCAAAGCAAAAAATTTGCATGATACCTTCTGTTGTCACTAATTGGTTGAAGATCTATTTTTTGATTCATATTGCTGTCCGACATTGTGATTTTTGATAAAGGCTGCTGCAAATTATTTCATTTTAGAATATTTGAATCAATAGGGAGTCGATATTAACAATTGCTAAGGGACTAATCAAATTAATATCACCATTTGATATTTACATATCATTCGTGGAACTGGTTTACATAAAGCATGAAAAATAATTCGAAAATAATTCGATTTTGCATTAATTTTTCAGGTTGATGTGGTTTATAAATGAAGTAAACATGATTTTTGATAGATTATTCTGAATTTGAATTTACTTACCGATGATTTTGACAGATCATAAATAAAATTTAATTCATTGTTATGGCGAGATTTGTCGTTAGCCGAAATCTAAAATAAAATTTAGTTGATATTTTGCCAAAAAAAATGCCGATAATAATAATTTAGTACCATATAACTGACTTCTAAGCTTTTATTTGTGCTTTTTAATTCAAATTCCGTGAATAAATTTCCAAAAAGATTTTTGCGAAAAATTATGGATAGAGTTGCAAAAAAGCACAAATCACATTGTTTTCGCAAATCGTTTTTTTCTTCACCGTGAACCGATGTAGCATTAAGGAACAACGCAGGATATAGGGCCTTTATAGTGGATATTATTACATTATTCTATTATTATTATTGCAGCAAACCTCAATGAAATGTAATGAATCGCACAAGAAATTCCCATTGGGTGGTAGACTTATGGATCTCGATTGAAGTATTCTATTAGATGGCAGCAGACTGGCTGACAATGATGGTCTGAAACTAATTTTTTGCTGAACAAATTGTTGCAAATTATTTTTAGATAAAATAGAAATATTTGCAAATTTTGTTAAGCCAAAGATGATTTATATTTATATTTTTATATTTTTACAAACAATAATTTATCGAAATTAGAAATTTGAAGTCAATGCAGACTTCTCCTTTTTCATCGTTATTAATTCTCTCTTTGCTTATCGTATTTTTCGATAAAATTTGATCGCCTCAAATTTTACATTTTACATAAATAACCAAACGATTTTCGATTCAGAAACACGATAAAACTAATGATGTTCGTTGGTGCTTAAACGATGATAGATATTTGGCCTCTGAACTTACTCATTTTCTGACTTTACCGCTGTTAAATCGCCGTGAACTGCGCTCTTGGCTGCAGTCTCGTCCTCGTCCTCGTCCTCGATTGCAATATCATCAAGTTGTTCGCAGTTCAAATTCGTCATTATGGATGTAATAAAATGCGCTAAAAGAATTCACAAAATTTATTCAGCGATATTCAACCAAATGAAAATATTTATTTAAAATTTAATTGAATGGAATTTATCGATATTATAAAACTTAATGCACAAAAAAAAGAATAATAATAATAAATTGTCGATAAAGCAAACCTATAGAATCGTTGCTATAAAAATAAAAATGTATATTCCAAAACAATTTTGTCAGAACAAAAAAATTTGTGAAACGTGTGCTAACAAATCGATCGGATCACTTGTTGAATATATTAAAGGTGTTAAAAGCATGAAAAAGTGATCATTTCGGCATTCTTTCCTCATTTATATACATTAAATTTGCTACTATATGAGACGAGAACATATATATATTTATATTTCGTATATATATTTCGTATTATTTTCAACGTTTGTCACTTTGTTAAATTTTCGTGTTAAATCACTTTGTACATTTGAAATATAATTTTAAATTATTGAAATTATTATTTTTTCTATTTTTCCATAATTTTTCCATAATATTCAGACTATTTGATTTTACTGTATGAAAATCGTTTTTTATATCGCCCGTTAATTCATCATTAAAGCTTTTAATTTATAATCAGTCTAAAAAAAACTAATTTATGACAATTTTTTAAAAATGAAATTATGAAAAATTTAATTTTTTATTTGCATTCATATAAAAATGATGAATTGATAAATTGATAAATTCATACTTATACAACATTTATAATGGTACAAAAAGCCTTATCTTAGTTTAAATACAAGTATATGAAAAAAATTACTTTTTATTAATAGCATAGGAATCATTTGGAGATAAAAGTATATGTGGCCCTTGTCATCAACCTTAATTTTTATCTTCTATCAGACATCGTAGTCGATTTACGATGTTTGAAATGATTCTCAATGGAGACCTAAAACTAATTGTTTTGGAACACTTTTAGAGAGCCACAAAAATTACCACAGAAACTGCAGAACTATAAGGGAATCTCGTTCAATTATAAAGTAAAATGCAAAAATTTTATTTCTGATTCGAAAAATTAATTGCAGTGGTTGCATAAAAGACTCAATTGAATTAAGTTGAAATTAAGAAGGAGGAATGCTTTGAGGAAAAAAGAAATTTATAGAAATGAAACAATAAGCTGCAAGTTATATTTATTTAATAACGAATTTTTGAATTTCTAGCCAAATATACACAAACTTTCTACATGAAATAATAATTTTAACGAAAACTTTCCATGAAAAAATCTTCTTGGACGATTATTTTCAAAGATGGACAAAATTATAAAAATAAACGGAAGACTAGACGGAGAGATCATATTAATAGAAGTGAAGTTAAAAAAGAGGCAATTTTTCTACTCTTAACAAAATTTTAGAAGATATTTTTATAAGATATGGCAAAAATAATTTAAAATTGGAAAAAGTTAGCAAAAAATTGAAAAAATTATTGCGAAAAACGAAAATGATGAATAAATACAGAGGGAAATTTGCTTTTTGTCGAATTTCTCCATGATTAGTTGCTGAAATACTCACTGATAAAATGATAACGATATCAGTTCAATTTTATTTTATTTGCATTTTTTACCACTTTTATCACTTTATTTCATTTCATACTGAAAAGTGGCAACACATTTCTAAACTGTCAATTGCTCCTCTATGTCGATTTTTTGTAAAATTTTTTTTAACCTATTTTACCACTATTGGGTTATTTGCACAAAAAATTTCATTGAATTTTTTTATTTCATCCCTTCCATAATTGAATTTTTAAAATTTTTGATATTTCATTTTTCATCACTGATTTCATATATGATTACTGCAAATTAGTTCCTTACAAAGTTATTTAGGGAATTTTTTTGAATGCTTACAAAATTAGCCTCCAAATATTTCTTTTTTCTTCAATGATTTAATGGTTATATAATGTAAATCATGTAAAAATTACGGATGCTGAAAAAATTTTACTGCTCGCACCTTGAAATATCACCACGAATAGAAAGATCGTCTAATTGAATTTATTTGAATTTAATTAATTTGAATCAAATTACTCATTCCTAAAAGAATGCAATACCTAAGTTTCTAAAAAAGAAATTTATATATACCAAATTTTGGTTCATTTCGTTTCCTTGAATCGATTTTATCCGATAATAAATCATAGAAATTACATAAATGGCTGTCACAGATGCAATGCTTAAGCAATGGCTCTGAAGTAGTTGTTACGAATTCTGTTGTACATCCAGTAGTGACCTTCTAAAGTTTTATTTTATCACATCCATAAATCAATGGCAAATAAAGTTGAATCTATCAGCCACCTACGCAAAAAAAGCGAATAGTGCTTTTCAGTGTAAACTTTTATTGTACATTTTTAACGCAATCGCAAGAAATACAGATAAAAAAGCAACAAAATTAATTTACTACCGAAAAAAAACCAACTTGATCATTGTCAATTTTCAAACAACCGGCCAGGAGCTCATAATTTGGCCGAGTAGTTCCAATAAATTCTAAAATTTATTTCTATAATTAAATTTATTACGATAAATTTCTTATTACTCGTATTTTCTTAATTTATGGAACATTTTTTAATCAGTTTAGCAATTTCTAATGTAAATTGGTTAAAAAATAGTTTGAAAACATGCAACAGGAATAAATTAATTAAACCTTTATGATCACCAAGTTTTTTTTCGAATTTGGTGCTTTCAATTAACAATTCTGATGTTGTTAATGATAGGAAGCAAAATTGGCCTTCACATGTTTCCGAGCTGCAAAAATATTTCATAATAGAGTCAATAAGAGTAAATAACTCAATGACTAAACAATGCACGGAATAAAATCTCAATTTTCTGCTCGTTTCAAACATTAGCAGAGATATCCTCGAGATACAAATTCATGGAACCGCAAGAAAAGAACATAAATAACTCCAAAATATTTGCGAATGTTTCCGAATCGACAACGCCACTCAATTTTTATTTTCTTTTTGACTTGAAAATCTATTATGTGCAATTTTTAATTGTGAAATTTTCGCATACAACGCTTCATATGGAACATTCAGCTACTGCCAAATACTGCAATAGCCAGTTAAAATTTTGAAAAATTACTCGTAAAATTGATTTAAAAAAAGTGAACCTTTTAAAAACTTCTTCGCTAAAAGCTATATGCGATTTGTAATGCAAACTATAACAATAATTTTGTTCATTCAGTCGTCGATTTATAACATTATTTAACTGATATGTTCTTGTTTTATTCAGTTCATTGCACGAACCTGTAGGATTCGTACAAACACATCCATTTAGCAAAATTTTGTTGGAAGTTTGGTACCTAATAATTTTTCATAATTATATTTAACTGAATAATGAAGAATTAATGAAAAGAACGATTTTCGTTGAAAAAAAAAGTAAAATCATTGATATTATTAGAAATGGTATGTCATTGGCTTCGTGGCAACATAGTTGTTAACGTTTCACCAAAAATAGTTCGGACTGAAGTCTAACTGACACTATATGAGCGAAAGCAAAGAGGGATAGAAGGGCTCTGCGAATCTTGCTTTCATTTCGATGCTAGTTCTATTACTCTAAAATAAATCTATCCTATAAAAATTCGGGTTATACTGGCAAACCAAATCTCATTTATACTTCTGTCGAGCGAATGTGTGGCTGACAAGCAAAACGGAGCGAGCAATAAAATTTCAAATCATATTAACTCACCTTGCGCATGTCAATTGGCCTTGCCAATCAATGTATGATTTCGTTCGTAAAAAATCCTGTAATCTTGGATAGCCAACACCACAGCCCTGGAAAAAATATTAATCAAAAAACTTTTCTGAAAAATTAATTGTAAAATAAAAAAAAAATAATGTTGCTAATCAACGCAACGTAATTATAGGTAATGCTTTAACAAGTGGTTTCTCTAAAAATCCAGCAAAAATTACATACAACCATTCTAGAAAATGGAAAACTGCAATGGCTTATTGGGAAACTAAGAATATTAGAGCAACTTTACTACCAAATATGCGGAATAGGAAGCTAACATTTTAAAAGTTTTATTTTTGGATTTAACCTATTTCTGGCACTAATGGCTTAAAAAATTTGGAATTGGATAATGATGGAGCAAAATTGTTTTAAATTGGTGAGAAATAAATCCACAACAACTATGAAAACAAGAAAATAAACGTACCTGCTCTACACCATCGAAATCAATCAAACAATAATTTCCACTGCATTGTCGAAGGCAATTTTTGTTTGGACAATAATCACGATGTGACTCGGAACATTCGCAGCAATCAACAGTAGGAAGTCGATTTGTTTCGTACGAATTAAACTAAAAATATGAAATCATTGAAATTAAACAAAAGTCAATTAAACTGATATAGCTGATTATAGCTGATCACGACCAACATTTCTATATTTTTAAAATAATAATTGACGACCTTCTCTTTCGTGTTGCATAAATGACCGGTGCACGAGCAATAAATAGAATCGTATTGACCAGTGTACTGGCATCCTTCTTTCCCACCATATACGTGATTAACACAGCCTTTCTGCAAATAAATTTGCCACTGTAAGCCTTTTATCTATGTATATATGGAGTTAACCAGAAAATCAACAAATTTGAAAAGCCAGTTTAACTGCGGAGATATTTGGTTTTCAGATATCAGATAATGACATTATAACGAATTACGCCGATAAACTCAACTTTTTCAGTCGAATTTAGAAAGAATAACTGATAGTCTACTAAAAAATGAATTGATCACATTGTGAAAGATAAAAAAAGGTGAGGCATTAGTCATTTAACATTGAACTGCAAAACCACTGTATTACTTTTCTGAATAGCGAAATATATTACACTGTGAAAGGTATTAAAATAAATCGAAAATTTAAAAGGATATGAACTGAAATAAAGCAAAAATAAGTTTATAAGAATCAGCATCATACGACTGTACGATGTGTGTACCTGGATGATGGCGGTGAATTCCTCATGAAATATCTCAACTTTAACAAAACAACTAGTCGATTTACAAGTCGTTTCACCAGTACAGTCGCAATTGGTTTCACCTAATTTAAAATTTGGAAGTAATTTGCAACTTGTAAAACATGAAAAGCATTCATTGCAACTGACCGCAGCAAAAATCAACAAAAAATTTATCAGAATTGCTCGATATAAATCTAATAACGTTTTCATCGATCTGAAACGTGAAATTTGCATTACGGGGAATTCGTGCTAAAAAATGATTCTCATTTCGATATTTACTGAAAAACTGAAATTTACCAATAAATTCGATATTTTGTTGTAAATTATTTCATTGCAATGCAATGTGCAAGTGCAAAACTGATAAAACCAATTAAATATCTCTGCTAAACTGTCAGATTTAAAGCGCATTTAAATTCTGCGGATAAACTTTTCCTGTATTTTCTTAAAAGACACATGTGAACCTTGGTGGAAGCATTCAAAAAATGGCGATGTTGACAACGATAGAACTTTCAAACATGAATTTTTCAAAAATAGTCATTTAAGAATAAAATATTCGAGGTTCACGGAATTCAATTAATCAATTTCATTTTAATTACTTGACATTAATACATGAATTGTGTTCACTCTTGGTGGCGAATGTTGCAAAAGGAATTATTCCAAGTTTGTTCTGTAAAATCTGAAACTTCAGAGAATTCAGATATTCTATATTGTCTGATCTTTTTTTCTATCAATAATTATCAATAGGCATTAAGCGTATTTAATAGCATTTAAAAAGCTGATAAACTGATTTTTAAATAATAAGTTTATTTAAATGGTAGTGGCAACCTCTTTTAAAATGGCTCAATCAAACTGTTTTGTGCACAAAGACTACAAATTGTTAAATAACGAAAGACTGACGAAAACCGGTTGATTTATACTTAACGACTAGTGAAAGGCGGTGTATTGATGCGCCTGTAACGGAATTCGGAACAGAAACAGCGAAAAAAGCCTTGAAAGTTTTTAAATTATTTTAGGAGAAATGAAAAAAGCTAAATTTGTTGGATAAACTGTTTTAACAAAGCATTGAGTAATTAACAATTTCATTAAATATAAGTGTTAAACATTTTGATGATATTCAACAAAAAATTTTAGTTCATTGTATATTCATTTGATATTCGTTAAAAATTTTAACAATGAAAGTATGAAAAATTTATCAAAATAAAATTCGAATAAGCAAAACAGTTGAATATTTTTTAATAATTATTCACGAAATTTGGTGGAAATTTATGCGAAAAAAACGATGCAAGCGCAGTCGAAGAACTATGGAAGCAATTTCATTGTCGCTACTGACGATTTTCTTAAATTCGCTCCCTAATCAAGCAAATCAACGTATAAAAAGATTAAATTTTCATCAATAGAAATCACATTTGCTTTTTCTTTGTCCATAATTACCGATAATTCTCATTTATAAATTCACAATAAATAATACTACATTTTAAATATATGATAGAATTTCTTTTCTTTGGTACTTTTCGCTTATAATTGAGCCTTACTTTATTGGCATTAGGACGAGGTAATTAATATGAACAGTGGCATTTTTGATGATAGATTTTGATGGCCAACATTAGAGATGATGCCTGAGATGATAATTTAAGCTACACAGCAGATTTTTCACATATTTTCAAATTTTGCTCGGATCTTTTCGGAATACTCTCCGGAGTGAATTCGGTTTTAATGGATTTAATGATCAACATATCCTAAACGATTTTATGTAAATTCCCCGTCTTATTTTTCGACCATTTGATCTTATCTTCTTGCATTATCCAAAAAGCAAGAAATCTTACATGGGATGAAATGCGAATATTATCATTTTATGTGAAAGCTTACGTGAGATCGGGCTTTCGTTTGTTATTATTCCCCTCTTGTGCATCGGACAATAATAATCGAAGCGAAACTGATTTGAAATAGAGTGTTGTATTCGGCAAATTATTATATATAATTTATAAAAATTCGAAAGAAAAAGATTTATTGAGAAAATATGAAATTGCTATAATTTAATATCTCAAAGACCAGTTCATGAAATTTAAATACCTCAAATGCCTCAAATGCCAAAGTCAGATAATCGAAGATAACGCCACAAATCGTGTATCACATGAAAAAAAATTGACTGCGCTTGCTGATTGCTGCATTTAAAGACGAAGGAGACCAACAAACGATGTGAAGGACTTCCGAATGCCAGAACAAACAAAATTTCAATTACTCAATCACATTAAATCCATTAGATAAATTTTAAAAATAAATAATATTGATTAAACAATATTAAATAATGAAACGCTATAAAAATTGATTGGAAATTCAGTCAATTTTCGAAAATAAATCAGTTTAGAGTGAAACGAATTAGGTCAAAATTTAACCTCTCTTCTTTCTCTCTTATCAGATCTCAATTTTATCAATTGAATCATTCCTTCACTCTTCTTTTTCTACTATTACTGGCTCTCTGTTTAGGCCGGTTCTCCTGGCTGTAAGGGCGAGGCACCTCCAGGCAATTCGATCCGACACCATGCTTGAGGTCTTGAGGCTGAAGGAACTTCATTCACCTAATCATTAACTTCTTAAACTAATAGTGCTAATCAGTAACCATTAATGTGCGTTCAAAACCTCCTCTGATTGCATCGCTCCAGGCATTAATCTCATTCTCGGTTTTGATGATATTCATCCATGGGTTCAGCAAGTATGAAGATATGCATCGATTTCCACGATTAGCGACAAGGAAATCAGCGTAAGCAATGCTTAACGGTAATATTGTTAACACTGATATTTTGACTGTATTTATCAGTTATTAATCAAGTTATTAAGTTATTTATATTCGTCCAAAAAGGATTGAATTAATCAAAACAATTCATTCATACACTTTATGGAATAAATTCTTCAAATATTTTTAAACGATATGTATTTTGTTGGGGTCAAATAAAAATATTAGCAATAAATTACAAATCGCTTATGCTTTATCAAATTTTTATTTTTTTTCCTTTATCTCTTAACATCTCGTTTGGATTTGTTAAAATCACTGCCATTGGAGTTGAAATTTGACTGCAACCAAGCTTTACGAAGGCTTACGGAGAACTTTCAACTATTTCAAGTTAAAAAACTAAGACAGTCGGGTACAGTAAGGCAAATTATCGAAACATTTCTGAGATCATGCATCGGAAATATCTTGGGAACAATCAATGATCGCGTGAATCGTAGTAAACGCTAGTTTATAAAAGGCGATACGACACATGGCAACGAGTAAGATAACAGTTTCTAATTTTTGAGCCGTTCTTTTCAATAATTTAAGCAGTTGTATCCACGCAGCCAAGAACTACCATTCATGCCAGCCGAAAAGAATTTCGGTTTGTTTCAAGACCCATTTCATCCACATTCCCATAATATATTTAGAATTTTTAATCAGTATGGTGAGAACACCTCGAAAAATATAAAAAATCGTTTACAAATGGCTTCATTTAATAATACATATTTATTTATGGTAATACCAGTGCTATCAATGCAACGTATTATTCATATACTACATCGTTTAACAAGAAAAATGTAATAAATTTGTAATAAATAATTATTATTAAAATTATTGCCAAGTCCACGATTATGTTCAAAATTCCAAAAAATAAAGTTAAATATGTGTATCTTTCTTGTTCTATTAATATAAATATCTTTTAATTTTTTTGGGCAAAAAAATCTTTAGAAATATGAGCAACTAATGACAAGAACTGCTATCGATCAACATCATTTGCATGAATAGCGACTGGTTGATTTTCCTCGAAAGTACCATTCGCGATACGATAACAAACTTCAAATGCTTGCCCTAATGTTATAATAATTTCAGTTGCAACATCCTGAAAAAGCAATATGCAATATGGGTCTTTCATTATTTCCTTCTAATGGAAATAAAATTCTAATAAATTCACAGAATTCTGTTTCTCAATTAAGCAACTATTAAATAAATTCAATCAAAAAAACTTTTTATAAAAACTCAAATGCTTTAAAAATCCTGAAATCAAATTCTTAGCAAATATTTTAGAAAATAAACAGATAAAAAATAAAAACGATCTCACGGCAGTTAATACACAAAACACATGGCAGAAGTGTCCATCATTATCTTGCGAGATATATGCGAAGCAATTAAGATCACGTTCATCTTGACAAACTATTTGTATCCGCGTTATTTCATGCTCGGCGATCAGTTTCTGCAAAAAATAAAGATTACCAGGCTAATTACGACAGCTATTTTTATGAAATAATTCGATATCTCAAAAAAATAATTTAAAAGCCTTAATAATTATAATTATATATTATATAATATATAATTATATAATGATCATAAAATAAATTTTTTTGGCAAATCATGAATAAGATTCCCTCAATATTTTTAGAATATATATGATTCGTAGATTTCATTAAAAAATTTCGAAAAAATTCACTAACCTTTGTGTTAGTATCCAGAACTCGAATTCCATAAACCGATATTTCTAGCAGAACTTGCGGGACTTTAGTAATTTCTCGAATATCTTTCTACAAAATTTAACAAAAGACCTTACTTTTAGAAAATGACAAGGAAAAATTATAAAATATTTTATTAAAAAATTTGGAATAAATTAAGGAATATTCCAAGATTCGTTCCATAATTCTGAGTATTTCCTTTCGCAAAGTCGTAAGGTGCTTAGAACTGAATAGTTTTGGCTCTTGTTAAAAAGAAAAATTTATTAGAAATAAGAATCGGCTTTAGGAAATTTAGTGTAATCTGATTAGTTCATTTCCTTATGAGATTCGCTTAAAATGAGAAGAATGACACGAACTTTTAACTTGACCATTGCTCTACGTGAATCTTCTGTACTTTCAACATTAGAAATTTCCACAGACCCGAGATAATGTGCTGAATAAGCCACACAGTCGCTAATTAGTTTTGACGAAGAATGACGCCACTCAGTTTGCCGTCCACCAACAAATATTGAACAAGGTTTTTGAACATTTAATTGTACAGAATTTCTGAACAATTATATTATCCCTTAGAATTTTCCAAATTATATTTTCCAAAATTTTGCATGAAACGATAATATTTGAGTATTTTAATATTTACGTAGTGATGAGATGATCCGCTGTTTTGACTAACCTGAATTTGACTAAGATTGGGCATCATGGAATCGAATTTTTGCCTCTCGATGAAAGTAAAAGTACATCCATTAAAAGTAAAATTCAGGTGGTGACAGAAGACCACTATAATTCTATTCTCTTATTTTCAAGTGACATTATGGTAGAAGTTTTTCCATGCTGAAAGAGCCCTCATTCCAATACCCAATTGAATCAACTAAACCAAAAGTGGTATATGCGCTTAGAAAAAAAATAAGAATAAGAAAAACAGTGCAATACTACCTATTTTCTTGTCCACCATTAATTTCACCATGATTATCATCACAGACTACAGATAAAGTTTTCCCAGCATCATTGTCATAATGAACCTGTCTCAGTGAATTTAAAATTCGCTTTTGATGACCGAGTAAAGAGATGCCGAGATTCTGAAAAGATATAGAAAAATATCTTAAACAAAACAGACGTTAATAGTATAGTCAATAAAAGTCATACAATAAAAATCGTGAGCCTACCTTCAAATGCTTTTGAGTGGGATCTACTGCTGAGACGATTAACATTGTGGTGAGACCACCTCTCATGAAAATTCCTAAATAATCTTCCAGGCCAAGTGAATGAAGCCAATCTGATACGTAGATGAACTTATCTGCAAAAAAGCATAAGCCTATTCTGCAATTTAAAAAATTCGCTGGTTATTTAAAGAAATATTTTTTAGCTTTTTAAATTTAAACTTATCATTCATTGACAACTATTTTTCAATTTGGTTTCAAGGCCTATAAAATTCGAACTTGATTTTGGTTGACTTTTACAATTTTCCAGATAACTTCCAATTTGATGTTGAATTGATTTGTCGAGACCAATTTCCTCCATGGAAACTTTATCTAAGGTTGATTGCTGAAAATTAATGATTTTCAGTTTTAAAAAAATATAATGCTAGACAATGGACAATCGACTAATGCATTGAGAATGCAGTGCGGGATCACTGTAAATAAAAAGAAAGAAATTTTCGTCTTATATATAAGAACCTGATAAAAGCCTATTTTTATCAATTCAATGCAGATTGAGGAAGTGCCCGAAATACCTTAGATACACTCTAATCCTAAATGGCCAAGCAAGAGACGAAATTACCCTGATAATGGTAGTCAGAAATGCTTTCTTCCGGTTGATGAAACCTTTATGGACTCATCGTGAAATGACTATTAAAACGAAAGTCCGCGTCTATATAAGCTGCGATTCACTCAATCTTGCTATATGTCTGCAAAACTTAGCCGATGCGAATGGAGGAATAGGGAATTTACCTTTGACCACTTCATGTACTATATATATACAGTTCGGATAAAAACTCACATGAATGCATCCATTATTCGCTCAAATACTAGTTGCACATAACAGTGTTTTCATAGAATGCCGTCTTCGCTGACTGGGGCACATTCTTCGCCGCCTACCAGAAGAATTAACATATATTTCGCTACTTACTGAACCCTGTGATGGATGGCTTCAAAAGCGGGATAGGCCAACCAAGACCTGGATGATAAATTCAGGAAAGATCTTAAATGTATAGGTAGACCAGCGATATATGGACTTAGACGATGGAAAAAGAAGTGGTTTCTATTGCTGCCGACAATGACATCAGATCGAATAGCTTGGAGATGCCTTACCTTTGTAGCCAGCGGAGTCAGCTCAACCAGTAACGGCGAGAGTTATTAAGAAATTAAAAAATATAAAATAATTTTGCTTTTATGTGGGTTTTTTCAAATAGCAAGAAAAATAGCAATTATGCGATGCAATCGAATTTTATAAAATATTTAAAGTTTGTAAAAAAATTTCTACCATAAAGTCAACGTTATCAAATCCGTTATTTTCCAAGATAGTGGCGATTTCAATGGCTTTTGGATTAGGAATACCAACAACAAGATTGAGCCAGTGAGCAACATTTTTTGATGCCTAAAAATTTATTCATTGTACCCGATTAAAAATTCTCACCAAAATATTTATATAAATATTTATATAAAATCATTGTTTATCATAATTTTTTTAGTATATACAGTTATATTTAATGAAAAAATGAAATACCACAAATTAAATTCAAAAAATCAAAAAATGCAGCAACAAACAATTTGTATTTGAGAACTGCATGAAATCCAAATAAGTCTAAATAAGTCATGAAATCTAAATCTAAATCATGGCAGTTTAACAATAGTCATTACTTTTTTTGATTTGATTTTTATTAACGCATAATATAAAGATTAAGAAAAAGAGAGCACAAGAAGCAGGTCGAGTTTCAGACCGCAAGGGCTAGAATGAACATCACAGAATCGATCCCTCGATCCCTTGGTAAATTTATTATAAAGAATAAAATCCAAGTGGTGCTAGGGACCTAATTATACTTCTGTTCCCAACTGACTCTCAAGCGAAGCGAAGAGATCTCATCCCAGTAGTCAGTGGAAACAGAAATAGTAGAAATAGCAGTTGTGAGTGTTGTAAGAAGAAAAAATAAGAATACGAGAAAATAAAACTAAGAAATATAATCCGAATAAAAAATAATCGCTTACTGATAAATATTTTAAAATAATAATAAAAATTAAAAACAATTACGATAGCCTTTTTCCGTTCATTTTCATTTGGAGAACAACTCTCATCAACCATTATTTTTGATTGATTTTCTCGCAAATTCGCCACACCATTTGAATTTTTTTGTTTGTTTTTAACAATGGATTCCACTAAAATGAAGATATTCATTTATTCTAGGAAATATTATAAAGTATTGTCATTTATTTGAAATTTTTGAATATTTTAGAATATTTTAAAGCTAAGTAATGGCAAAAATATTTTGAAAAAAAGAAAATTTAAAAGCTAATTTTAGAAAATTTAATTAAATTAATATAGCAATATCAAAAACATAGCAATTTAGAAAATATATGAAATTAAAACAAAAAATACGTGAATAAAATAAAATAATTGACAACCATTATCACTTGTTCCAAGGCCCATAAACTTTTTCGAGTCCAACATACTGCGATTTCTAACTGAAGATATAGATTCGTCCGTACTAAAAAGATATCGCATAGTTAGGTGATAACTAATCAATCCCCAATATAAATGAATGAATAAGTTTATAAGCTTTTAGGATATAAATTTTGTAAAATAAAATTGTGGAAATCAATTTACGACAAATGAATGAAAAGTTTATACGGAATAGCACCAAAAGAATATTTAAGAGTAAAGATCAGTAAACCAGTAAAGATTTTGTTCAGTTTAATCACATATGCAACTTAAATCAACCTTGGTGGCTTTGAAAAATTATCGTTATCTTTATTCGGAGATGCAACTGATGAAGGATTTGATGATAAGGATTTCGATATGAGTGGAAGTGAGCAAGAAGAAGCAAGTGTATAATCAGAATAATCTAAATGTGTAAAATTTAAAGCAATTCAGAATTTATATGAAGAATGCAGATTTATGTTTTTAATGATGAATATATATTTAACTGAAAAATTGAAAAAAAAACAAAACCTGTAGCTGAAGGAGATAAAATTATATCTTCAGTTATCTGTGATTTATTTGGCGCAGAGATAAGAGATAAACTGTTAAACTCATTCTGGAATTTGAAAAAATTAGTAATTAGTTATTTACAGTTTTTAAGGCAATGATTAGCCAGTTTCTGGATTTTCACTAGCATTACTCTTATATTACATAATATTTCCAGAAACTCGATTTCAAAGCTGTAAAAATTTCAGCGTTTGCAATTGACGTATTACCTCAATATTCAATTGGTTACAAAGAAAATCGCGAATTCTTGATTCTGCTGTCTCGGGACTTGGTAAATCATCTAAGTTATATCCATTCAGACTGCTAGATCCTGAATCACTAGTTAATTCACAAGACTTCCGCGAATCACATTTACAACTACAACTTGCATCCTCAGGTCGTACAGTTGATGATGAAGCAGAAACAGAAGTTTCATCTGATAAAGTTCTGGTTGACTTCTTTTGTTTCTCACAAAACTGCAATTTTAACTGATTTCAAAAATTTATTCGTCTATCATCTATTCATCTTTGGCTAATGTAAATTAAGGCGCGAAATAAACTTCATTTTCATGCATATTTTGATCAGAATTTGTTGATATTGATATAATGCTTGTTGACGTAGAAACGGAAACTTCTTCGGGAATGGCCAATGGTGCACGACCAGACGATAATACATTAGTTGCCGATGATGCTTTACTCGCTATGTCATCAGGTGAAGCTGAAGCTATAAAAGGGATTTTTATAAGTCTAAACAAAAAACTTGGAAAAATTTTCAGTAAAATCAGATTTAAAAATTCGTAATTCATACATCCTTCAAGTGATGAGCAGGCAAACGTAACAACTGATATTTTACTATCAGATCTCCTATCATGATTTGTATTTGACCCATTGATATTTTTAAGGGATTCATTGAGTTCGCCAAATGGATTCGACTGAAGTTCTGGCTGTTGTAGTTTAAACTGGACATCTTGGAGTGCGGTTCGTGGACGATAAGACCTCGCTAAAGATCACGATTAAATATTTAGACAATTAATCAAAGAAAAGATCTAAGAAAGAAAGAACAATTTACCAGTAGGCATCGTTTTTCTTCCATCATTATGCATATTAGATGGAGTTGTAATAAATTTATGTCCAACGCTACCCATCGATTTACCTGACGAATGACAAGTATGATCCCATCTTCGATGCCCTAAAACTATTGAATAAATAATCTCTTAATGCGTCATAAATAGAAATTATTGCCTTTTATTGCAGCGATTTTACCTGGAGGAGGAGCATTATCATAAAATAATAAATTGCGAGGAACATTATCATATGCCATTACTGGATAAGAAGGTAAGAATATATTGTCATAAGGTAAGTGCCGAGAAGTCCAAGAATCATATGCCTGTGGAGCTTGATATGAACAGCTAGCACTTTGCCCTACGACAAAAAACATTTATTTACATGAGAATTTAATCGAAGCAAGAATTAGTTAGCTAAATGGAGCAAAAAAATGAAACGAGCTAAGGATTTAAAAAATTCAAAAAAAATGTTAGTGTGAGTGAAAGGACACCTGAACTCATGGAAGAACTAGCTATTCCCATTTTTGGAAGTAAATTACCACTTCTACTGGATGCAGTATGGCGAGTTTTATTTCTAGGAGATGTTACGGGAAAAACAGGTAAATGTTTTATTGAAGAACACGAAGTTGAATCACAAGATGGCGAAAGTTGACCACTGTAAAATATTTAACTAATTGAACAGAAGAGAATTATGCAAGGCAGTTTAACATAATAATCTAATAATTATAATAAAAAAGATATTTGTTTGAAGAAGAGACGGTGAAAGTTGACCACTGTAATAAAATAAAGAAGAAGTACCTCGAATTGTAATCTGAAATTTCCAACAATGTTGAAGATGAATTCTCAGTTACTGAATTATAATCTTCATCAAAATCGCACGATACAAGATCAGCCTTAATTAAAATTTAACTGATCAAAAATTCATCCAAACATGAAAAAATTTACATCTGACTGGATAAAAGATTTAATTTAAAGAATAAATTTAAAGAATTAAAGAATAAATTTGCATAATACGAGATAAAATCTGAAAAATCATCATAGTTTATTTGCAATAGTCCAATAAAACGCAAAAAAAAATTTAGAAGTTATTTGGGGAAATGGTTAAATTCACCATAAAATAAAATATTTGCTTTACTTGTATAGATGATGGATAATAAAAGGAATCATTAATGGCAGCTGCGTTTCGGATTAAATCAAAATGCGATGTAAGATTACGAGAACGTGCTGAAAATTTTGATAAGAAATCAAAAAAATCAGAGCTAAATGCAGCATAAAAGCTGAAATAGAAAATAGAAAAATGCGAAATAAATCACCGGATGACCCCTCCGGAATCGATCGCCAAATAACATCATTTGATTCCGGACCATTTTTCGTTATATTTTGATACACATTGCTATTAATCTGGACCATAGAATTATTTTCCATCGTATGCGATCCTTCGTTAATATTCGTTTTCTCATTGATATATGCTTGAAAAATTAGTTTAAAATCAAAAAAATTTGATTTAAACAATAAATTGGTATTTTTTGAGGAAGCACGAAGAAAAATATATTTTTCTTGTAACGAAAAATAGAAAACCTTGAATAATTTTGCGACATTCCAACCATCCTTCACGACTCTGAATCACCTGCGTCAAATCGGAAGCTTTTTGGTTTTCATGTTCATATAATGTTTCTAAGACAGTTCGACCTTGACAATCACGCAAATCAGTATTTATGCCTAAAATATCAAAAAAAACCAAACAAAAAATCAAATGTAAATTTTCAGAGCTATTAGAATTACCTTTTTCAAGTAACAATTTGACAGCCTGAACTTTACCAAACAATGCAGCAACATGCAGTGCACTTCCTTCATCAGTTACGTAATTAATATCAAATCCTGACTGACATAAAATTTGAAGGCAGTCAATATGACCGTGGCGAGCAGCTGCGTGTAACGGGTAAACAACATGAAAATTTTGTTTCACCTTCGACGGATCTGTTAAAGAACAATCGGCGGCACTCTAAATATAGAAAAATTCAGAAACCAACTTGCAAAATGAGAAATTCAAATGAAAATTCTAAAAATGAGTTTTATATAAGCATAAAATAATTCTGCAATAATCAGAAACAAACTTGTAAAGCCAATTCAGGGCAATTACATATGATAAGGCGACACACATCAGCCTTGCCCAACTTTGCGGCAATATCTAATGCCGTTTCTGAACGTGCATTTCGGAATCGTGCATCGGCATGTTTCTAAAATTGCCGAAAACTTCACAAAGGAACACCATTTCTTACTGAATTAGTTCAAATTTGCTATAATTTGTCTAGAATTTTTAATAAAAAAAATGAAAAATAAAATTTTTGAATAGCATACAGCGAGTAAAATAGCGACGACTTTAGTATGTCCATGTTGAGCTGACAAATGAAGCGGAGATTCCTTAGCATTGTTAACAGAATTAACACTCTCCGCTTCCAATTCCACTAGAATCTTAATTAACAATTTTTAAAAATATTTTAAATATTTTGATTTTAAATAATAATATTTATTTTTAAAGTATGTGATATTCTTTAGAATCATTTTAAATAATTTCATCACGAATTTTCTGTTTATTAGTCAAAGAATTTTCAAGAATTTCAAAGATTTTTTACTACCTTTCAAAGCGATTTGAGCAAAAAACTAAATATCTTAAGTGCTTCGCAATCAGTTGAAAAAAAGATAACAGAATTATGAAAAAAAAACCTTTACAACTTGGTGGTGGCCATTCCACGCAGCCAAATGTATTGGAAGACAACCACGTCGATCTCTAACAGAAATCATTTGCGAGTCAGCATCCAGCAATATTTTGATTATCTGAAAAGACTAACTATATCACACACTATCACATGCCAAAAAATAGCTAATTCCAACAAAAAAAGTGATAAACTAGAGAAATGGAGTAATAACAAGGCAAATAAAAAATATGCGAAAAATACTTCTTCTTTTAAAATTCAAATGGGAAAAGAGAAAATTAAAATTTAGCAAAGAAAAAACAAACATCAGAATGTCCTTGTAAAGCAGCCAAATGGAGAGTCGTATAGCCGTTTGATGGGTCAACAATGCTACGTAACGACGATGAAATTTGTGGTGTTAGTGGCCGCAAAAAACTATAATTTCTTCTAATAAAACAGTTGGTGATAAATAAAAATGTATCGTTAAAGAATCAAAATCACCGAAACAAATCGCTACTAGCAATCAAACGAAAAAATTTACGATTTTAAAAAAAAAGGTCGAACAAACTTTAAAGGCGTTCGAGGCCTTTTATTTCGCTTGTTCGCTAACCACTGGTTGACCTTATCAGTTTCACCCTTCCGTACTGCATCGAATAGCTCCTTAATTTCTTTTTAGTTCTCCCCACTGATAAGATAAGATAACTAATGAAAATCCAAAATTCAATGCAAAAATGCAGAAAATATCTTTATTGAATGTGCACTTCAATATTTTCTAATAAATTTCGTTGCGTGGATTTTCGACGCGTTTCGATTTTCTAAGAAATTTCGATGTGTAAATTTGGATAATTTAAAAAATCTATTAAGAATATAAAAAAGGAAAAATTTTTACGTGAAATTATACGTTTTAGTACAAAAAATAAACGAAAATCTGCGTACTTGGTGCGATTGATTCAGCTCTTTTGCTCCCATTAATACATATTTCCTATAATTTCAATTAATTTAGTCAGAAAAAGGATTCGAAGTTTTCCTTTTTCGAAAAAATGAGTATTTCTAAATAACGTTATTCAGCTAAAAATATACTTATAGTTTGCTGAGAAATTCTAAATTAAACTTTGCACATTTTCAACGAATCAAACGAATCAAATTGTCAACTGCAGTTTGTTCAGGGAACGCACACAAATATCACCCGAAGTTTCAGTAAAATACTGCGGGCAGTGGTCGAGTGGTGGTGCACCGTTGTTATTCCGTGTTGCATTAGGGTTTAGCCACTTGTTCCTCGACAAGAAAATCCTATGGTTAGAGCTGAAATGCGGCTGCTAGGGGTCCATTGGTACGTACATTTATTTCCGAGTGATGAAAGTATCGAATGGCCACCGGAAGGAACCAAAGTAAAGAAATTATGAATACTGTGGAAAAATACAAAAATACAAATATTACTATGAAGATGAAACTATTAAATTGCCTTATGACATACACATAATTAAAATTAATTGCCTAAAAGATTTCTATTTTGAAGGAAAAATTTTTAAAGTCCCTTATCGACAAAAATATAACGCAAAGAATTTCCACATCTGTTTGCCTTTAAAACAATTTTATGTTAAAAAAAAGAATTGATTGAGATGATTCAGTTCCGACGATGACGGGAAATTTTTATCATAAAATAAGTTTTTTATCATATCAGATAAAACTGTTATTGATAAAAAAGATCAAATAAAACACTAAACAATTATTTTCCCAAAACAAAGTGATAAAAATACAGCTAAAACCATTTCGTGAGCACGTTTAATAACAATTATGATAATTAGCTTGTAGAATTTATTACAACATTATGCGGTTGTAAATCAGATTGATAAATTCGAAATTCTTGGGATTTGGCTTTGGGTGATCCATAAATCCTTGGGAGATTTTCGTTGAACAGTCTTCTGCTTTGCACACTTGAATTCTGCAAAACTTACTCAGATTTTCTTTAGGCCATTGCAGCTTCAGTAATCTTTATCAGTTATCATTATCGAAACATTTATCCATCTATCAACGTAATTTATTTCGCTTTCATCGCTTATTAATAGCCTTCTTAGTAATAATAAATTGGCTATAAAAATCGCTATTTTTTGATAATTTCATAATAATAATTTTACATAAATAATAATAATTATAATAATAATAATTTTACATAAATACACAAATGTGTAGAAAAGTAAACAATGCGCATTGATTTCATCCATTCGCCTATTCCTTCGCGCACAGAAAATTTTCCTATTGCTCAGTCAATAATTTTTGTGTTTTGCTCAAAATTATTTTATTAATTAATATTAAGAAATTAAAAATATATTTATTAACATTCATCATTTTCGGTTTAGCTCGCTCCGTAGGCAGTTGGGTCATTTGAAGACAGAAGCATAGAGGTACCTCCACTACCATCCGGAAGGAAAACAGTAGCACAGAGGTACCTCTACGACCATTCATGGACCTTCCATGACTTTTCGAGAGGCATACTCCGATCAAAGGAAAAAATCTGTGTTTTTACCGGTGTTATGTTCATATTGTGCATGTAAATCGGCCAAAAAGCCAGCTAACGCCTGAAGCCATATTTTTTTGGAGCTCTCTTCCGAGAAGGGAAATCATTATCGAAGAACAAAGAAAAGATAGTTTGGACGAGTGAACTCATAAATTTTTCCACATAAAATATTATATGTTTCAGCTTCGTTTCTATCATTTTTCCTACCATTTCTATAGCAGTAAAATTTAATCTTTTAAATTTAAAACCATGGAAATTTGAATTTTCATTTTCGCAAAGAATTACCTAAAGTTTAATAAATTTTAGAATTCTAAAAACATTGAAAAAAAATACACATTTCACACATCACAAATCTTTTTTATGAAAATGAAGAATTTTTTATTAAAAAAAAAATATTTTCGAAAAGTATCAATAGGAAAACGAATAAAAAACGATTTTTTTTGGAAGAAAAGCGAAAATAAATAAAATTTTGCGTAAAAATAAATATAAATGTTTAAACGCCAATAAATAAATTTATTTGCGTTTCAATTTTTCGGTTGAAAAATTTTCTTTAAAAATTTTTTTCGCAATCGATTTTTGCCGATCGTCAAAAAGAATCGTCCAACCCGACTAATCCCTTTTTTTTCCATAAAAATATTAATAATAATGTCAAATATAAAAATTGATTTATAATTTAAAAAACTCAATGAAAAAATTTCATTTTAAATTTGTACAATAAAATTTTAGAAAATGCACTTTATCAGTAGTCGGTTTTCTCAACAAAATGTCCTATTTGCTTGTCTTATTCGTTTCTGCATTATTATAACTAACAAAAACCTCATAACCAAGCGAATTCCGCAAGAAACTGATTAAATTAGAAGTACACAACAGGTGGCGAACTCATCTGTTCTTCTATTCTCAGTTGGCTCTTTGACGAAGTGAGACTCATCCAAAAAGTTAGCAGAGCCAGCCAGATTAACAACGTTCAGAGTTGGTGGTTCGTTAGGACTTTCACGCCTGAATTTTTTAGCCAATTCCCTTGTTTCATCTTTACTAAACTCAAAAGGGAAGAAGGGAAGCAATCATTCTTCCGAAACCTTAAAATTCATAAGAAAGTTGTAAGACTGCAATAAAACTGGCAACATTGGCTGATAAAATATGATTAATCATATTCGTTTATGAGAGAAGAAAAATATAAATAAATAGGAAAACATTCGGTGAGAATTTATCTTACTGAATGGATCCAAAGTAATTTATTAAAATAAAATGATGAAAAAAATTAAATAAATAAATAAAAATATATAAATTTGATTTTCGATTGATTTTATTTTGAAAGAAAAATTTGATTTTATTTCCTTTTACAATCAATTTCGTTGAAAGAATTTTTATGAAAATTCTTGTTTTTTCTTTAAAAATTTCGGTTTTTTCTAAAAATTTTTGTTATAAAATATCAACGAAAAATTAAGTTTATTAAAATTCTTTACAACAGATTTTCTTTGCCACAATTTTCTTTCGTTTATTTTTACAAATAGTTTTATCTTTTATTCGATCAGCGCTTCAATCACTTTAAAGCCAATCTATTTAAAATAATTAAACTTATAAACAAATAAATTATTTCGAAAATACATATCGTTTTTTTTTCGTTTAGAAAATTATTTATTGTTAATCAATAAATAAATAAATTTCATCGATTAATGAAAATATAAATATTTTAAATAATGATTTATTGAAATGGTTTTAATGTATATGATTAATTTAAAAAAAAATATAATCAACTCAAAAGCACAATTTTAATATTTAAATAATTTCCAGGGGCGCTCACTATTTCGAATAAAACTTGTCGAAGCAAGGATTTCGCAAATCCACTTGGCAATAGAAATGTAGGTGGGCCGCCAGCACCACCTGGATTTTTGGAAGACAAATTTGCCTTTCCTGCCGAAGAGCAAAACTGCAATTTGAAATGATAGCAACAGCCCACTGAGTCATTCTACCCTTTATTTAAATAATTTTACTATTGTTTGCTTTTTCATAATATCGTAAAATTTCCAGAAATTTGAAAAAAATTGCGAAATGCGCAGGAAAGGCGATTATTTGAGAAAAAAGATAAATAAATCACTTTAAAGATAAAAAATAAAAAAAAATATAAAATAGAGAACTACAAAATAAGAACGAATAGATTTATTTTAGAATGGAAAAAAAATGTATATAAATGAAGAATGTTAAGGATAAGGAAGACGCAAGGAAAGAAATCCTTGATCGATAAAAAAATTAAAAAGACAAATGGAAACGGCGAGTGAAAAGTCTCCTCAATAAGCCCTTTTATAATATTTCTCGTTGAAAAAAATTTCCAACTTTTCCCTTAATTTCTTTCATAAATTCTTTGCCATTTTCACTTCTTGTTAGGCGAACTTCACTCGCTGCAGCGATGAGATTTCTGCTAATCCTAACTCGCATTTTATTAGGTATGAGTTAATTAATTTTTAGTAGAAATTAGCATTTACCACTCCCAACTAGTTAAAATGAAGTAGGAATTTCTGCTAAAAAGTCATTTGCGAGTGCCCAGCGCCAACCTAATTCTCAATAGGAGGTTTATTCTTATGAAGGAGAGAGGCTGAACCATGGTGCTTGAAATGATAACTCAAGCCGTAGATGTAAGTCCTAATGACTACATTCGACATATACAATTCTATTTATGCCATTTTTTAAAATATGCTGTTTTATGCCAAAAATTGCGTAAAAATATTGCATAAAATATTTTCGTGTTATTACTGCAAATATCAATCTTTTAGAAGAAATGCCTTTTTTAAAATCGAATTAGATTAGAACCAAAATTCAAATCCTCTTTTCGAATTTCCACTAAATATTTTTTTCAAATTCTTAAAATTCTAAAATTAAATTAAATTTATGGATCACATTGCGCGGATATATAAAATATGAACATAAAGAAGTTCTTCATTCTTCAAACAAATTATTGAGAATAAAAACCAAAAGAAAAGATTTTAGATATTATTGGAACGGATAACTAAGGAATTCCATGGGAATAGAAACTAAATGTTCCAGAAAAATCATTTTAAAATATTAATAACTCATTGAATAATACATAATAATAATAGCTTTTTCAAGATCATTTATAAAATTTATTAAATGAGCAAAATTAATATTTAAAAGAAATGTAAAGAAAAATGAAATTAAGAGGATTTATATAAAATCGCATAAATCAAAAATAATTCCTTAAGGAATAAAGAAATTTTTATTGAAGAATTGTTTTTCCAGAATTCCTTAAAATAAATTTTTTGCTTAAAATCAACATTTTAATAGTATCGTTTGATGCTATTTATTATTCGCTATTAAAAAATGAAAAACAGTTGTTTTTTGGATATTAAATAAAAATTTGAACAAAAAAATGGAATTTTTAAAAAAATTCCTACGAAAATTAGTTGTAACAGCAATAGTTTTAGAACTGTTTTATTGAATAATGAGGGTAATATAATCAATAGAATTCTATTAAACAAATGAAGAACTATTTAAATGAAAAAGAACTATTTAACTAAATACCAGCAACTGACAAATATTTTCACATTTATACTACTGAATGAATAGTTTTTTAAAATTTTTACAATCTAAAGCATTGTTAAATCAACGTTTTCTAATGAATAAATTAATTAATTATTAAAAATCATTTTATTATAATTATTTAAAAAATTATTAATTATTAATTATTAAAATGTAATTATTTTCTTATTTAATTGTTCATTTTATTATTTATTTATTTATTTCAATTAATATTTATATTACGTAAACGTTATATATTTAATTGCATATTTAAAAAAATAATAAAAATATTTATTGTTTTTGTAAGCAATTAGATTAAAAATTAGAAATATTAGAAATATTTTTTCGATTAATAGATAAAAGGACGTTAAACTTTTTGCACTAAAATATGTTTATTTACACTTAAATTAGCGATAATAGAAATTCTTTAATATTATTACTTTTTAATATTATTTTTTTGATTTTAATTCAGATATTTAATTTTTTGTTATTTTATTGTTCCAAAATCATACTTTTTCCATTAGAACTGTAGAAATTCGAAATTGATTTATTAAAATTTCATAAATATAAAATTTCATAATTTAATGAATATTTAAACAAAAAATTAATAAAAAAGTTTGAATTTTAATAGAGTTTTCTTGAAAAATTGCCTAATTTAACTTTATTAATTTAATTTAATAATATAAATGTTTATTTAACTGAAGAAAGAAAAGATTTATAGCTGAAAAACAAGTTTAAATAAATCTTAAGATTATTCGAAGAATTGAAAGATAATTTAATTAAAATGCAATTGATTTTACGCATTAATGATAATTAAATCATTCTTTCTTGCTTTTATCCTTTTTCAAAAATTTTTCTTTTTGATTAAATGAATTGATAATTTTATTGAAAAAAATAGTCAAAAAATAAGGATAGTCAAAACGATGATGAAACATGTAATAATAAAAAATATATTGCAATTTTAATGAATTTTAATTGGTCTAACAAAAATTAAGATATAAAATTCCAAATATTCCAAGTAAAATATTGAAGAAAACACCACAAAAGGGCAAAAACGCTGTTAAAATTATAAGGAATAACAAAAAATATTTATGTACTAATAATTCATAGATGAGTGGAGACCATTCTTCGAAATATTGCATTTACAATTGACGAAAATCTTCCTTCATACCAAAATACTTTTATAATGATGAATGAAGAATGAAGAATGAATGAATGACCTTTATAAACAGTCTGAGTAAATAATTTTTCTAATATCTATCCTATAATATTATTTTTAGTATTGCAATTCGACAACAAAACGCAATTACAATTATTTCCACTACTTTTATTTTATTTAAGATGAATCAATGGATCAAAACGCTTGATTTACCTACCTACAAAGTTGACAGTTTTGACAGTTTTGCTACCAGTTGTAGCAAAAAAATTTTTTTGCTGGGCACTTAAAGATTTACACAATATTCACTGCACCGCAGTGTCTTGCAATTCTGAACACTAATCCTCATTTATAATGTATTGTGCAACACAGATTTTGGACGTCGTTTAACTATTTAGATTATCTGCCTAAAACACACCGATTTTGGAGAAAATTTTGAACGTTTTACGATTTATGAACTATGAGATTTATGTTTATTTGAAAAGACAATAGGCGCAAAAAATTTCTGAACACAAATACAATTAAATTAAACTCGGGCAAATAATGAAGTCGAAGGCCTTAAAGGTATATATTCGCAAGCAAAATCGAATTTATCTACTGCTATGAGCCTTTTGTTCTCTTTTTTTCCGTAAAATAGCTAAGCTTAGAACAAATCTTAATTAAAGCTTAATTGAAATATATACAAATAAAATAGAGAAAAATTGAATAGATAAAAATCTAATTTATAAAATTCACTTCTTAATTTCGTTAGAATTCAACACAAAAACTGTGTTTCATGCAAAAAACTTTAAACGAAATAAAAATGCAAATATGCCAAAATCTTTTTGAAAATTGTTCAGTTGAAATATGTTCATTTTTCTAAAATTATAAAAAATCTTTTCACTACTTTATGATACAATCAAATAATCAGTAATCAGTTGTTATATTGCTAAATTATATATTATATGTATCACAAATGCAATATAGAATCTTCTTCTTTTTCTATTGGCAGCACTCACATTTATGGTTTCGTTGATTCCACTGAGGTCCTTTCGCCGCTCAATTGAAATAGGAATGCAGTTTCGAGAGAAAGGAGTACAGTCCAGCAACTACATTGTAATATTTATAATATTGATCATAATATTTATTTATAGTTATATTTTAAGTTAATTTTCGTTAATTTTGTTAAATTTTGATAAAAAAATTTTGATAAAAAATTTGACAAATTTATTTTTTAAATAAAATTATTGGTAAATTTTCTAGAAAAACTAACATTTATCGTTAATTTATAACTTCGGAAAAACTTCGATTTCTTAGATTTTAAGTTTTTTTTACATTCTTACTTTTCGACCACTTTCTTAAAATATGCGAAAATTTTAACCACATTAGCGATTGGTTTTCATAGGAAATGAAACTGATATGAACGTGAAAATGATAACTATTTTGATAACTATCGAATATTCTCCTATCAATTTCTTCATGTTCCTTATCACTACCTTATCATTTGATACCGCAATTTCTTAAAGAATTATTTTAGGCTTTCTCTTCGATTGAAACCTATTCTATCGAAAACTTTTGATTTTTTAAAACTTTTGAAGTTTTGGAAAAGTATTAAATTAAAAATTAAAAATATCTTCAGCAATGCTCTGCAATTTTATCGGAAAAGAATATCGCCAAGAGCGATCAGAGAACCTCGATGAATATTTATCAACCAAAGGTATGTATCATTTGTCTTTATAAGTTTGCCTATTTGTACCATTTGTTTCATACAAATACTGCACTTTTTTAAGAAACAAAAGTTATAGAAGCCTGCAGTATTAATGGATTTATTAAGGAGTGCCTTGGCTTGTACGAAAGCTAATTTCTGGAAAAATGGACAATGGTTATTTTAAATTAACGAAAGATGTAGAAGACGACTACTACAATATTGCTTTAGGAACTGCTAAAGGTGTTATGAATTATCGTTTTCAATTAAATAAAGAAATAATTGGTAAAGGATATGACGGAAAGAACCACAAAGTAGGTTTGATGCAATTATAAATCCATATTCATAGTAACATTGGAAATACTTTTGACTTTCCTTTGAAATAATAGCAAAAAATATTGAAAACTTCACAATCATAAAACTTGGATAAAATTTTATTTAGATAAAATTTTATATGGATAACGACAAATTCATCGAAGAACACGAACATATTGAAGGTGACCGTGTAGGAGAAACAAATGACATTACTGAATGGAGTTTTGTGGATACATTCTTAATAGCGGTATTATTTCTCTTTTAATTTTGAAATAGAAATACAACTTTGAACCTAAAAACATCTAAAATACCAGAAGTTCTGAGCGCGATTTTTTCTTCTATTTTCCATTTTTTCTCACCTTTTTCGAACACGTTAAGCTGACCTTCTGACTCTGCAAGCGTGAGAAATGGATTTAGAAGCCTCTCTATCCAAAGCCAAATTTGAAAATGGAAGCTATATTCTTTTTTCCATCGACTAAGACCATATGACTAGACGACCATCTATACATTATCTTCTAAATATATCAGTCCTAATTTTAGCATTTTACTAATTTAATATCATATATCATTTAAAATCATGCATGTTTTCAATACTTCGATATTTATTTTATTTTTTATATTTTTAATTTTTTCATTTTTATATTTTTTAATTTTTTGTATTTCATTTCTCATTTACAAATTCGTTAATTTACTGTGAAATTGTGACATAAATTTTAAGTAATTTCATGGCATTTTACCGTGACATTTTAAAAATTGTAAACCGCTAGAAATTTCTCATTTCTGTTGTATTTTGTATCTATTATATTGTGTTGTCATATATTTAATAATTTATTTTTTGAAAAGCAACCAAGCATGGCGATAAACGCCATGCATTAATTTTTATTAATGATAATTTTTAATAACAATAGTTAAAATAATAAATAATAAAGAAAGAGAAAATATGGCAAAAATTAACAATTTTATAAGGAAATAAAAAGGAAATTACATAATAATACAATATAATACAATTCGAAATAACTATAATCGGATGGTAAAAATCGAGATTTCATACTTCCTACATGAACTTTTTAAATAATGTCATAAATAATATTATCTATTCTTTTTTTAAAGATAGTTAGGGATGGCGCAAGCTATATCGTTCGGTAATTTATTACAGCAATTAATAGAACGAATGAAGAAATCATGAATCCTCAATTTATTTTTGGCACAATTTTTAATAACCCATTAGTTCTTATTGGATTCAAATCTGGGTATGAACTAAGGAATTTCATTCTCTATAAATCTGCTCAGATTTAATAAATTTAAAATTTTTAAAATGGTAGATTATCCAGTTTTTAAATTACTGAACTACTGAATTTTTTATTTTTCAGGAAGCAGCAGCCGTCAATAAAGATGGTAAAAAAGTTATTTGGAGACGATATTTTAAGGCTGTTTGAGCAATAGAACATATTTTTTTCACGCTACTACGAATTATAAATTTATCAAGAAATCATGTGATAAAATAAAGTCAATGATTGATCAGTAAACCATAATTTTAAATTTTTTGATGATATTTTGTATGCCGAATAACTATTTCAGTACTTTTTAAAAATATGTTTTTTAAAATTTTATATCATCATTAAACTTCTGTGAATTATCCATTCAATTAATTTTTTGTTCCAAGGGCTACAAATATACTCTTTCGAAGCAATAAATAATGAAACGAATAAGGCCAGAAAATGATGAGTTTAAAGCCAAGTAGCTAAATATTATGCGAATGTTCAAAGGAATTTAGCATTATTATTAGAGAAATTTTTCTATTTCAATTAAGGATTTTCGATAATAACAAAAAGAAAAATTTTCAAAAATAAAAAAATCAAAAATTAAAAACAAAAGAATAAAAATAAAACTTTTATTATTCTATATTCTTGTTTTTACTATTTTAAAACGAATCAGTGGTGGAGCGAATAGTTCAATGTAAATTCTTTTTTCTATTAATGTTATCATATTATCACAGTATATGTTATCAGTTGACTGCTGTGATAAAATTACAATAATTTTGTGATAAACAGACAAACTAGTTTTTCTCTGTGATCAAAATTTTTTTATTACTTTATCTTCCAACAAAATTATTTCTAACTGGAACACTTTACAGTGATTTTTGAATTTAAATCATCTTCGAAAGTTAATCTTTTCAATGAAATTTCATTAAAATTTTCGGTTTTTCGATCAGCAAAATTTTATTATTTTACGGTATAATTTGAAGAAAATAGCACAGAATAAGTCAAATGTGTTAATAAGTAAAATGCTGCAAATATTTTTTAAATTAATCTAAAATAACTAAAAAAAACTAATTTTAAATTAAAAAAAAGTTTGACATTTTCGTATTTTTAATTTACATTGATAGTTATTAATAATAATTAAAATTTATATCATACATACTGAATTGTTTGTGGAACTATTTGTATTATTAGTTTAAATCAATTTCGATTCCTTCTGTATCGAACGAATTAAACTGATAAATTTTCGGCCTTTTACGATGGTTTGAGCAAATTTCATTTAAAGAAGCACAAATCTGAAAAATGAATAATTTTTCTGCAAAATTTCTACTTTTTTATGAAAATTATGAGAATTTATTCATTTCCGAGGTTTTTGCTTAGCAGATTTGCATGGCTAACTAACTGCTTTTTGCTGTTGTCATTTACCATTAACATACATACACATTTAATACATACATATTTTTACATATACCTACATGTACATATTTTTTATATTTTAATATTAATTACGATAACTTTGAAGATATAATTATTTTGAAAATAAAAAAATTCTACTGGATTGCTAAAATTACTGAATTTAAGGAAACTAGGAAATTTGGATCAATTCTCTGATATAGGTAGAGAGAGCGCTTAGCGGAGTGTTGCTTTCATTTCGGGATGAATCGGATGCTGGAATAGAACTAAGCCTATCTTCTGAAAATTTGGACTGTATTGGCAACTCGTCTGTAATCTCTAAGTGATTCTTCGGCAAAATTCGTTTGACAGCCAGTTGTGCTTACCGAATCAGAAATGCTGAGCACTCTCAGAAAAAAAAAGGAGATTTAAAATGATTTTAAAAAAAGTCAACTGGTAGAAGAACGATGGGTGACGCAAACACATCTTACATATATACACTTTTCCTATTATTTCTTTTCCTTTTTCATCTTTTTCTGCCACTTTTTTCGTTTTTCTATAAATTTCACTTGTTTAAATCTTAGCTAAAATATTAAATTAATGCAACAATTGAGGGAAAAAAATAAATCTATTAAATTAAAATGAATGAAATAAATACGATGGCGTAAATATAACAAACCATAATAACGATTTTAAATAAAAAAGAAATGCTTTAAAAAGTTTTTCAAATTGGCTTCCTCAAAAGCTTATTGAGATAAGATCTCTTCGCCTGATAGTTATCAGCGTCATACGGATCCCATAATGTGCTGTTCCCTTCAAGGGACAAAAATCGAAGCTGTGATGCCTTCAGCTCTATTAAAACTAAATGTCATTCGATCCAGTTCCACTACAATGTCTAAAGTGTCGATATTGAAACATTTTTCAAGCCAAGCTAGCAAAATTGTCTATTCACTTAATGATTTTTATCCTTTTCCAAATATTTATATGCAATATAATTAGTTCATTGCATTTCAAGTGAATCCACATTCATATTGAACAATGAATGCTACGTAGAGCGCATAAGCAATAATAAAAAGAGCAGAAATAACGAAATTATTTACTAACTACTTTATCAAGAACTAATAACATTTATCATTTATTTATTTATAAAATTTTGCTTGATGCAAAAATTTTCTGACAATAATTCTTATAAACAATATATAAGGAATTATTTATAATATTATGAAAAATCGTCTGAGTTCTGAGATCGAATAATTCATAAATTAAATTATAAATTAATTATATAAATTGGAAAAAAACAAACTGATTCGGCTTTATCGCTTCTAATTCCTATATGTGTTGGATTTGAGGCATCGCTAACGAATATATCGACAATAGGGCCCGAATATTTGCGTGGATCCTGAAGTAAATATCTGTCGCTTAAGAAAATTTAATGTTTTCTAAAACACTTTTTCTGTAAAATTTAATCCTTTGTAAATTATTTTTTCAGATGGAAATTCGTTCCAAATTCCAAATTAGAAATTTATACGAATTAATTTAATTTATGAACAAAAATTGTTAAAGAAATATCGTTTTAATCAACGTTTTAGACTACAAAAATTAAAGAAAAAAAAGAAAATAATTAAATTTGGTAAAAATGACAAACGTGATCTGAAATGAAATTTGATCGAACAATAATATTTTCTAATTTACAAATATCGAACTGTAACGTTGATTTATTTCGACTTGAAGTAAGGCGGCGCGGTTTGTACCACAAAAATCCATTTTGAACGTAAATCACTCCTGGCGCAAATCTCTAAATTAATTTGTCTTTTACGAAATATATTAGGAAAATTTTTTAAAAATTTAAAAATCTTATTTTCTGGAATATTTTACCAACAAAAAAATTTAAAAGATAATTTATGTGGGTTTTGGTCAATAAATTATCTTTTAAAAGATAAAAGATCTCTCAAAAAAGTTTACAAAATACAAAATTAATGTAATATTAAAAGCATTCAGCTCATTTCTACCATAACATGAATATATATATATATACATATATGTTAAATATACATAAAATATTTGAAATTTGTTTCTCACCCCTTCGGGTGCTATGGGTTTTCTTCAATCTCAACCAAATGCCTGGAAGTTTGAGTTCTGCGCATCTTAGCTATCCTTGGAATCAGTCATTTGAGTCATTTTTCCAGCTTAGAAGTTTAACCCCGACTGCTATCACTGGGATCACTTTGCTTTCAATTTCCTCGTCTTTCCTAGTTCTTCTTTCAATCCCTGGCATTACATATATTTTTAGCCAAAGATATTTGACAAAACGAAGAAAAATCGAAAAATTTTTTATAAACCTACAATTTTTTTTAAACAACCGAATTGTATTCATTCATATGGTCAATTCACTTGCAGTTAAATAAAAGAATAAATAATGAAATGAAAAAGCACAAAGACATAAGGAAAATCTTCAAGGAAATGAAACATACAATGAATTTATTTTTGACGTCATTTTGCACTTCAACATAAATACCTTTAATATGCCAAAAATATTTGACAACTCGTTCAGGTGGCGCTGGGTCGAGCAATGTCGCTAAGCAGCATCCCATTGGGAATTTCATGCAGAATTTTATTGTTATCACAAATTTCTTGATTAATATGGCTAATATGGTGAGAAGTGATTTAGTGCTAATTATATGGTCAAATACACTGAAATATCATTAAGATTTAAAAAAAGTGCCATAATTTAAGTTTAATAAATTTTCTGGCAGCAATGTCTACAAATTTTAGCGATTGAAAACAAGGGGAAAATAATATTCTAAACTAAAATATTTGTGCGACGCTTAATAAAAATGGAAGAAACAAATGTCCGACAGTGGTATAAAAGCCAGTTTTAAGTCGTATTTTCGAGCATTCAAATGCACTTTCGTTTCTTCATAAAAAATTCTTCTTTAAATAAAAACCTGTGAAAAGGAAAAAAATATGGTAAATAAAACTTATTGATATTCAATAACCAAGAATAATGTTGTATGAAACTAATTTTTAATTCACTTCGAAAAGGTAGCCCATTCTTCATATCATACAGACGACTATCTACAGTGTAATAACTATAGAACTTATCAAAATTGATAAAATCGCTAAAAAGTTGAACTTTATCGTCATTGATTCGAGAAAGGGCTAAAGCTAAGGAGCTATAACAAATAGAAATAAGCCTTTTAATAAGATTGGATATGATGAGCAAGAAATAGGGCGAAATGGAATTAAAAAAATGGAATCAATATTATTGGATAGAGCCAAAGCTAAATTCATGAAATATGGAGACCCAGTTGTTTTGAATGAATATGAAAGAAGTAAGTAAGTATAACAATTTTCGCATTTTGCTGGATAGAACGATGAAAAAAAAAACGAAAATTATTTCCTTTCATTCACTAATTTAATAATAAATTTGTTCAAAAATCAACATAAGCTAAATTTATTTTATTTTTTAATTTTTTTTTACTTTTACAATTTGTTAAGAAGCGCTTTTTGAAAAATACATGTTCATTTCATGAAATTCATATTTTTAAAGAAATTTCCGTATTATAAGAAAATTGCCATGTATCTATTGTTAGAGATATGGCGAATTAATTATGTTATTGGCGATAATCACATTTTTGTTGTCTGGCGAGCCAAAATATACTTAGCGAATCAACTTCATTGCTATTAAATTTTTTTCACTCAAAATTTTTTGTATTCATTATGAAAGTACCAAAATTTCGTTAATTGATTATAATTATGATTGAATGTAAGGCGAAAGTTAATAAATTATAAGTGAGTATGAAAATTATTATCAATATTTCTATAAAATATTTTCATCATAAATCAAAAGTTTGAATTTTTGAGATATTTATTGATAAATCATGGCGATGTAATAATAATATATTCAAAGACAAGGAATTATAAAAATTACTTTGAAAATTTCGTAAAAATTAATTGAAAATGAAATATAATAAAAATAAGAAATATATGTGGCGTAGAGTATTGTGGAAATTATCATACTCGTTCGCTTTTTTGCCTCTGGCGGAAAGAAATCGGAAAAAAAATCTATTAAAGAAAAATTCAGCTGGCACTAGAGACTTGTAATTTTATTCCCAAGTAACTCAGAAAAATTCCCATCCTCGAACGAGGCTAACAAGAAATGATGACTGCTGACTACTAATTACTTACAATCTATTAAAAAAATCTAAAATGTAAAGATCTCTCTTTCCCTCTATAACCCCTCTATAACTTCTCATCCACATCTACATAAATATCTAATAACAACATTCCAGTATTTAAATTAAAATTCAACATAACATAACTGAAAGAAGCGTGGATTAGATAAGTCGATAGAGAATAAAAGCACAAACTCATCTGATTTTTTCTGATACAGTGGTTGCATTTTTTTACGGATGCTTTTGGCACATCTCGTGAGTTCCCTATGGGTCCCTTTCTCATAATAATAAAATAGACAGACGATGGAGAAGTAGTATTTCATTCCTGGCAGATTACAACCTAATATAATATACTTCTGTGGTTTTTTTGCCGCACATTCATATTTAAAGAAATGTAAAATTTCAGTTGGAGATTAAGGTAAAATTTTTTCTCACTCAGAAACCTGCCTGAAATACGATTCCACAATGAGTGAATTTCAACTCAATTTAAATTTTAAAGACTAATTTTAAGAGTAAATGAGAAAATGCGACACCGAATGTTAATCAAAAGAGATAAATTAAGCAAAAGACAGTATTTTAAAAAATTATAGAAAGCCACTTTAAAAAAAAAAGAAAACTGAATTGCAAATAAATTACTGAAAATGACAACTAAATTTGCAAAATAAAAATTAGAAATTTGCTGCAAAATAATTTGAAAGTTTTTTTAAAAACAAAATATTGATATATTTTATTAATATTAAAATATTAATAAAATATAATATACGCCGTATCATTTATGCAACAAATACCATTAATGATTCATCAACTATGATTAAAATGATTTAAAAAAGAAATAAAAGGCTTAATAATATAACTCACACTTTTATTTTTTTGAATTCTTGAATTTTTCGAACTTTTTAAATTAATATAATTATATAATTTGTATAATATAATTTGATATGTAGAATTTTGAATGCTTAGATGGCTCAGCGATTTTATGTTGTAGACAGTGAACGAAAGAGCGAAGAATTCTTTTTCATGGGCGTTGTGGGGTTGAGTCGAGAAACTTGGAAAAGTCTCTCAACATAGCAACTAATTGAGCGAACCAAGCCAATATGGTGGTGAAAGCTTTTAGAAAAAGAATTTTTATAATTTTCTCAATATTATTATTGTTATTATTATTAATATTAGTAAATGTGGCAGTTATTGAAAATTTAATTATAATAAAAATAACAATTTCACGAAATACTTTATAGTTTAATTCTTCTTCTAACAGCTCACAGCATTACTGGTTAGGCTGGCTCCGCTGGCTATAAGTAAGACGTCTCCTGTCCGATCCGTGAAATAATTTCTTAATTTAAAGCAATTAATTTTAATTGATCATCGCTAGTAATAATAGAAGTCATTCCTTTTTCCACCGTCTAAGTCCAAATATCGCTGGTCCCCTATACGTTCAAAATCTTTCCTGACTGTATCAGTCCAGGTCTAAATTGGCCCTTTTCGCTTTTGACGCCAACCATCACAGGGTTTAGAAAGTAACGAAATATGCGACAATTCTTGTGGCGGAAGTCGGAGAATGTACCCTAACCAGCGAAGGCGACGCTCTGTGATGACATTATTTATGCAATTGGTATTTGAACGAAGATGGATGCGATGTCTTATCCGCTAAACGGATCCATAATATGTACAAGAGTGGTCAAAAGCAAATAACTTTTTAATATCTTCCACTCTCATTGGCCATATTTCGCAGTCATATATTCGCAAGATCGAACGAATTGTAGCAATATGGACGCAGATTTTTGTCTATATGGTGATTTCACGACGATTCCATAGAAGTTTCATCAACCGGAAAAACATAATTTAATAGTTTAATATGATTTTTAAACTTAATTCAATAATTTGCTTTGATTTTATTTTGCTTGATTATATTTACTTTTATGAAATTATTAGAGTTGATCGATGGGCCATTCTCAAATTGAAATAAATCAAATAGCAAAGTTTTCTTTTCTAACTTTTCTAAGTTATTTTAGGAAGGAATTTTCTAAGTCCCATCACGATGGGTAATTAATTAACGTGTTGGCTTTTTTTTTAAAGCAAATTGATAAATTGTAATTTATTTTAACGTTTGTATTATTAAATAATTTTTTTGTTTTTTTCCTCAATCAAAACTTTTTTGTTTTTTTTTCACTATTCTAAAAGCAAATATTCTATTGTACATCCAAAATATAAATTTTCATAAATTTTTGCGTCAAATAAAATTCGTAAAAAAAAAAGTAATTTTTTCTACTTTTTACTTTATCTAGATCGCTCATTATTTCTTATTAGGTTCGTTCTGCTAATTGACCAAACCAGACAAATTTTTAGAATCATTTAGCGATAGGAGTACGAGTAAGCCAACAGTGTTGCCCAGATATTCGGAAAAAAGCTTTATTCCAGCCAGAACCCCAACATTGGTCCGAAATGTTTCAATTTTTATGCAGAAATATACAAAGGAAAGAATAGCCGAGTAGTTGTTACTCAGACTATGATTCAAGATTCTGGCATGAATTCTGCTAATAAACGTGATCCACCTATATCTATGTGACTCACAATTCTTAGCCAGAATATTGGCCAGAAAACTCTAAGTAACAAAAGACCAAGTTATAGTATGCTGAATAATATTTTCTACTATATATTGTTATTTCTTGCTAAATTAATCGGCAAGGAATGCACGATGCTGCTTCGGCGATAGGTAGGAATTAGCTTTGCTTTGAATCCCACGCAAGAGGTGAATGCATGAATCTGTTAAGCCACTGCTAACTGCTAAGATTTTCTCATGCCTAATTAAAGATTTCCAAAGAATTTAAAAATTTATTGGCTCAAAAATATTAGTTGAATCATTTCTTTGCTTTTGCTTAAAGTTTAATTCAGTCCCAGTGAAAATGAACTTTCTTGGATTGTTTCTCATTTTGCTACTTAAGCATTAAATTTCTTCAGGAAAATAATGCAAGAAAATCGATATCGTATAAAAATTTATGAAAATTTATTCAAAAGTTCGGATGGTACTAATAACTTGTAGTACGATCACCAGGCTTTCTGACAAAACTTAACTTGCGCAACAAATCAGTGGAACCTAACCAGAAATGAAGATCTTTTAGAGAAAAATCGAAAATAGCGAAAACTTAAAAAACGCGATGTTTTTAAAATTTTTACTCATTTTTTAACTATTATCTTTTTCTCACTTCTCATCAGATCGACAAGAGCTATTCGTCACGAATCGAGAGGATCACGTTTTAAATAATTTTCTTAATTTCATAAACAAATAAAATAAAAATAAAAAATAAAAAATTTTTGAAAGCTTTCCTATTTTAATTGTTATTTATTTATTTTATTTTATTGATATAGCGAATTAAATGTGGGTGTATCATATTCATCAAATCTGGCAAAATATTTTGAAT